TATTGTAGCGAAGAAGAAGGTGAAGAAGACATGCCCCCCCTTCCGTATCACCCGGAAGAGTTTGTTAATTTTAAAGCTACAGCAACATGTATCCGCCTGGGAGTGCGCACAAAGAACGGAAGGAAGAGGCGGGGTGGAAATGGGGCATCTGCACACAAGGGGGACTCGGGAAAAGGAGGAGGAAGGAGGCAAGGGGTGGAGGAGACGAAGGGCGTCTGTGCGCCCCAGGGCTCTGAGCCAGAGAGAGGGAAAGGCGCAGAAATGGGGCTGATCGGAGTGCAGGGAGAAGGGAGGAAAGCGAGGAGGAGCAGAGACGGGAAAGGGGCGCGAGGGGCGGCCCCAAAGGAAGAGTGGGAGGCACGATGATGGGGAGGCAGCTGAAGGTGGGATCCGGGGAGAGGAAGAGTTGGAAGCATCGCAGGGAGGGAGCGAGGGACGGAGGGGGCTTCATGCCTGCGCGGAAAGGGAGCCGCGTGCTGGAGGAAGAAGATGCAGGAGATGCGCAGAGCGGGGCGGGGGGAGCCAAAGCAAGGCTGCAGAAGAGAGGAAGGGGGGAAGGCAAGGTTAGTCGTTGCCGGGGGGGGGGCACGGAAGAAGCTCAAAACAAAGAACACCAACGTGCGCCGCGTGTTCTGAAATTGCGCAGGAACCCTTTGCAGAGACCCTGGGAGATTCGCAGAGGCCGAGCTCTCTTTTCCAGAGGAGCCCCCGCCCGGGGGGGGGGGGGGAGCCGCGATGGCGCCCGGCCGGGTTCGAGCTGCTGTTCCGGGGCGCCCCACCCCCCGCACTCCTCTTCCTCCGCCAGTGCCCCCCCAAAACGCACGCTTCCCCCACCGATCCCTTCCAGCATCCAAAGCAGATTTGCAGGTTCAAAGCAAGTTCGTGAGAACAAAAATTGCTGAGCAACCAGAAAGTGTGATGTTCAAAAGTTTAATTTATCCGCTCTACATTCAAATCCTGAGTAACAAATTCTAAGTACTATATAGAGGAAGAGGAAAATATGGCAAGGAAAAAAACTGTTAGTAGCAGGCATCGGAGTAGACAGGATTTTTTAAGGGAGGGTGAAATATACTCAGTTGCACAGTGATTTCATGCTCTTTATTGCAGCTCCTAAAACAGTGAATGCATGCCCCCCCCTCAGGCTTTATAAACATTATTTACACAATGGGTTCCTTCTGATTGGCTGATTCTGCTTCCCCCCTGGAGCCTGATTGGTCTTCTCCTGCAGGCCAGTCAGGTGTTGCATTCTAGGATCCTACCTGCCTCTTGTTCTAGGATCCAAGCTCAGTCCATAACACCCCTCCCCTCTATGTTCCCCTGGCACCCGGGAGGTTAGCATTCATAGTCACCAAGGTATGCCGGGTGCCTACATATGCGTTGTGGTCAGGGGTGTCCCTCGGCGGGGGTTTCTGGTTCTGGCTCTTGTTCCGGCGCTGCCGGCTGCAACGGGGCCTTTTGGTCAGGCGCCGCCGGTCTGCTCAGTCATGGGTCTGGTTCCTGTGGCCACTCAGCCTCGGGGGTCACCTCTGGCCTTACTAGTTCTGCCTCCCTTGCCTGCTCCTCCTGCTCCTGCAGGAGAAGAACCCAGGAAGGATGATTCAGGTGGATAGCTGTGTTGATCTGACATAGTCATAATAAATAACAAGATGAAAGATGAAAAAATCTTTTTAAATAATTCCAGTGCCCCCTTAAAGATCAACTAAATATAAGCTTTCAAGATATGTTGTTGTTGTTTAGTCGTTTAGTCGTGTCCGACTCTTTGTGACCCCCTGGACCAGAGCACGCCAGGCACTTCTGTCTTCCACTGCCTCCTGCAGTTTGGAGTACCACTCTATTCCAGACCACACCTGGAATACTGTGTACAATTCTGGGTGCCACAATTTTGGAAGGATGTTGACAAGCTGGAAAGTGTGCAGAGGAGGACCATCAAGATGGTCAAGGGTCTGGAAAGCAAGCCTTTTGAGGAACGGTTGAGGATGCTGGGCATGTGTAGCCTGGGAAAGAGGAGGCTGAGAGGAGATATGAGAGCCATCTTTAGATATCAAAGAGGCTGTCACATGGAGGAAGAACTTTCTCACAGTAAGAGCTGCTTGACTTTGAGGAGAGGTGGTGGACCTCCATGGAGGTTTTAAAGCAGAGGTTTGTGGTATGTCATGTTTCAGCAATGATACATTCAGATCAGCCTCAGTGCTCTAAAAATACAGTGCATGCAGATCCCACTATCTGAACACAATGCATTCTCAGGAAATTGTTAGGTAATGATTTCCATTGATTCCTATGGGAAAATTTATAATGCATTCCTGACCACAGAATTTTAACCCCAAGATGACAAAAGAAACATTGGGAAAACCCTCTGCAACCTTCAAAAAGGCAGGCAAGGGAGGAAAAAAATGTTGTAGTATTGATCCAATCTCTCCACCCCCTTCCTCCCCACTCCCTTCTGGTTTCTGGAAGATTGGCTGCTGTGGACCAGCAATACACAAAAAGGTTGTTTAAGGCTCTTATTCTTTTACACACACAGGTCCGACTGTTTGGATATCTGTATGGCAAGGTTTCGTACAACAAGAGTTTGGATAGCAGGACTTGCATGTATTATGCCGGTCTTAATTGTTAGTCATTCAACTAACTTGCTAGATGCTGCCTGTGATGTTAGCGTGCAACCTTGAGCAGATGGGGCACTTTTGAGGCATCTGATCAAGGCCTGTATTTTAAAATGAGCTTAAAGATATATTTGCAAATGTTTGTATGTTTCATGCCAGGCAGAAACCAGCTGGCTAAGTACTTTGGCAGTTGTTTATCTTCCTGCTCTCCTGAACAAGCCCCCCCCCCCCCCGATTTATAGCAGTAGCAGGAGACAAGTTTCTCAAAGATGTAAAAGGGAATTACAGGCTGGGAGCAAATGTTACACTGACCCTACATATTACAGAATACAATCAAGCTGCAAAAACACTAATTAAGAGTTGGTAAATAGTAAGATTTATTGTTTAACAGAAAATAGTACCATGTGCCTCCCATCAGACTCTAGCCATATTTTCCTAAGGTTTAAGGTATACTGAGAGAGTTAAAGGGCAATAAATTTTGGGAAGAGCTAATGGGAAAAGCAGCTGGCTGGGAAAGAGGGTGTAAACTGAAGAGGCTTCTTTTGAAGCTGTTTTTACTGAGTTCCTTTTTACTTTGCAAAGGCCTTTTCTTCTAAAAAGCTATCTATGTTATGTATGAGATTTGTTGGCTTAATGTAATTATGCAAAGGATTTAGAAAGTAAGAAATGTTAGATTCTTATGTTAGATTCTTATTTCATTGATGGTGTGTGAGAATGTGAACCCAAGATCTCTATTTAGATAGAATTTAATACAATGAGCCATTTGTTTTAGCCATTTGTTTTGGAATGCAGGGGCAACAGGGGCAAAAGGTGATCTGGTAATTAAGGTGCCTTGTCGAGGCAAATGTAAGATATATGGCTACTTGTCTGCTATTTATGGATAGAAGGAAATATAGCTCTTTGTCTCCCATAAAAGGTAATAGGAAATGGGTGTATCTTTTATGATTGGTTCTAGCAAACAGCCAATAGGAATTCAACCAGGCTGATTGGACAGAGGCAGCCAAAGGAGGAGCAAGGGGGCTGGGCTGAGGAAATATAAGTGCTGGCCATCAGGGCTGGAAAGGGGGGCAGAGCTTTGGTAACCATATACCACTGTGCCTATCATTTATTTGTCTGACAAATAAATTATTATTTTAATTTGTCTATTGTTGCGTTGAATATTTCATTCCAGCTAAGCGTTAACCACAAGCAGGGTGCTACACTTTCACATCCACTGTCACTGTGATTTTCTGATTTTCAGAATCTTGAGCCTAGCTAGGATGCATCAATTATAGGGGGAAATAGCAAGATCCCACAGACTCCCAAGTATAGAGATATGGGTGTCTTCAAAGACCCCCCAGCCCCGATGGACAAATCACTCAACAATGTCTTGTTGTAGAGGAAGAGAGAGGGAGAGAAATACAGGCAGCACCTTGGCGTGTTCCTGTTACTTTTTAAGGAGAAGGTAGGTGCACAAAGGATGCAGAAGGGCCGACAGTGGAGGCACTGAGCCCCAAGAAAGTATTTCAGAGGAATATCAGGAACCTGAAGATACATAAAGGAAAGCAAAACCCCCAGCTGGACTATATATTTAGCACTGTGGTTAATGGAGCCTGGTTTTAAGCTCCAGGGTAGTTATTAACAAGCTCCCTGAGGAGATTGTTCTCTCTGTTAGTCCCTCTCCTACTATCAAGAAGGAACTCGCTGACATAATGTGTGGGACGCTCTGCCCACTCAGCCAGTTTAATCACGTTTCACAGGACATCTAGTGCACTGGAGGTCGGCAATGGACACTGAGTTCAGATTTAATCTTATAGTCATAGGATTCTGTTTGCTTCTGTGTTGTAATTAAAATATTAATTGAATTTTGATTTTGCAAGAAGTTCAAAATGAAACAAGTAAAACGCACCAGGCAGCCAATAACTATACATGCATCTAAAAGGTCCTCATTAGCTTCTTTGAACTCACTATTACTTACTAACATGGGTGGACTAGATGATCCTCAGGGTCCCTTCCAACTCTACGATTCTATGATTCTGTGAAAGAGGACCGCTGTAATCGGAGTCTTTTTGTAGGAGATTCTCTTCTATAAAACAAGATTTTAATTCCATTGATCTTGTGGAATAGGGACTGACAGGCAGGCAAATGGCAGCAATAGTCAGAACATATTTTGGCTGGCTTTTTCAGGATGGATTCTAACTGAACTCTGCTTGCTTTTAGCATGCCTCACCTAGGTTCTGCAAAGCAGCTCAGAGAAGCCTTGACATCTCAGCTGCTTTGCTGAGATGTTTCTGCCTCTGGTTTTGTTAACGTTCAATGAGGGGTGGGAGGATAAGCTCCAAGCCTCATTTAAAAGTGTTTCTGCGACAAGCTGCTTTGTGCATTGACAAGAAGGGATTAGAAGGTCTGTTTCTTTCTGCCATGCCTTCTAGTACAGCTTTCCAGTTTTTCAGTCTCACTGTGCTTTTTGCACATTGCACCTCATTTTCAGTAAGTTTCAATCCAGTGACACTCCTCCCTCTTCGTTGCCTCTTTCAGTGATTGCTAAACACAAGGAATAATTTTCCTTCTTTTTTAGGTCGACCGCTTACTACCGGATGATGGTAAGGTGCTGGAACTCATTAAGACGCTCAAAGTAAAACATTTTTTATTTCGTTTTCTCTTTGTGTCTGAAACTTAATATTATTGCTTGTATTGATTAGATGCTGATGCTGGTGAACTGAGAAAGGACATCCCTGAAATAAATTCAGGTGGGTTGCAGTGAGACAGTTAACACTTGGATAAACATACTCCCAACCCAAAAAACTTTTCTTTTTCAAATAAAGTGGGCTCTATGAACATTTTGGCACTTTGCTCAGCTCCTTTCTTTAGCATCAAGAACATTGCATTTTATGGTGTTGTGGGTTTGTGGTGTGCAGTTTGATGTGTGTGTTGGGGTAACACTCCCAAGATCCAAGAGTTGAAACCGTATTCTCTCCCTGCCCCTTGGATAAATGTTCTTGCTGGCCAAGAGATAATTTAACTGTTCGGATGAAACTTTGAAAAGAATCCAAAGGGAATATTCTCAACAGAATTCAAGAAGTTTACCTAGTGGACATTTTCTTTTAGCTGTGGGTTAACTCCTTTCAGCTCTCCTCTGAATGTGTTTCTTTTCTCCCAAGTTTTAAAAAAACTTCAAATATTTTTGAGCTTTTCAACAAAAGTTGTGTGTGTGTGTGTTTCCCACGCCCCCTTCTTAAGCAAAATCAAAACAAAGCAAAGCAAAACCACTTACCTTTGAAAGGAAGAGTGGTACTCTGAGTAGGAAATGAAGATTATGAACACACACAGAAATGGCATTTCCAGTTAAGACTTTCTTTTTGGAAGGAAATGCGAAGCAGTCAGGACCTGGCAGGGAAGGTTGTCTAGGAAGGAGGAGAGGCCCCGTTAGAAGCCATAAGTGAATTTAGAGTGGTGTTGCTAAACGCATATGACCATGTTGCAGATATTAGTTTGGTGCGCTTTGAATAGAATTGTTAGTCATGTTGTGAGTCTTTATATAATATATAAGCATATTCAAAGAGTGAACACATTATTTTAAATATCTGATGAATCATCTTTTGCATTTTGATTATGCCATCTTTTTTTTATTTTCTTCTAGCTGCTGGACTCACCCTCTTCCAGGGGGATATTGTACTGTCTGTAAGTGTTGTTGTTGTTTTAGGTCATACATTTTTCCTTCTTATTTGTGTGCCCAAAGGTAACGCATCTAATCTTAACCTTTCTCCGTTTTCAATAGAGAAGCCGTAGTGCGATCAAAGATGAGGCTTACCGATGGCAGTTCCCTATTCCGTTCATTCTGGGTGACAGCCTTGGTAATACAACCTTTGTATCACTACAATACTGCCGAGGTTAAAATCTGATCCTGTTGTGATTCCTCTAGCTGTGCCTCCTACATTGCACAGGGGGTTGGACTAGATGACTCTTGGGGTCCTTTCCAACACTATAATCCTTTTATTCTATGACTCAGAAGATCCCTGTACCTGCACAAATAAATAACCCAACCTGTTAAGCAGTTCCTCTGAACAATTCCCTGCCTTTTACGTAAAGGCAATCTGATGTCCCTCTTTAAGCTGCAGTAATCATAGGAACATGGGGAGCTGTCTTACATCCTAGGCCAGGGATCGGCAACGTGCAGCCCATGGGCCGGAAGCAGCCCATGGAGGCCGTTTAACCGGCCCACGAGCCACCCCAGAACCGAGCCGCCCGCTGCGCTAAACTGGTGCAGTGGGGACTCACTTCTGCAGCGCCAGAAATCACGGGCACACTCACTTGTGCGTGCGCGAATGCGATCCAGCCACGGAGGGATCTCCATGGGACCGATCCGTCTCAGGCAAGGTAAACCTTGCCGACCCCTGTCCTAGGCAGGTCCATTGAGCTCAGTATTGCACACTGAGTGGCAGCAATGGCTCCCCCAGCTTTCAGGCAGTGGGCCTCATCCCCACCTGGGGATGCCACTTGGGGTTGGGCCTGGGACCTTCTGCATTCCAAGCACATGCCCTGCTCCTGAGCTAAGGCCATTCCTCTCAGTTTTCAGAAAGATAAAGCTAGTGTAGATTTGTCCTGGTCTGGTGCATGTAATGTCTTTTGTTTTGTACCTGTGTGATTTGTGCTCATATTGTATTGTGATGGTCATTGGCTATAAACAATAAAAATGATTGATTGATTGATTGATTGACTGATTGATAGTGGCAAAACTGATTTCTCATGAATTGCTTTTTTTTAAAGATCTGAATGCCAAAGGGGTAATTCTTAGAACGCTTGAAGGATTCCAGTTAAAATCCTGTGTGGATTTCAAACCATATAATGGGGAGCAGTCGTATATAATATTTCAGAAGTTAAAAGGGTAAGTAAAAACACATTGGTGCTTGGGGTTTTTCTTTTTTAATTTTTAAAATTAAAAACACATTTATTCAAAGGTTGCAATGCCATAAAACCACAGAATGGTCACCTCATTTTCCAGAGACATTTAGGTAAGGGGCAGTGAATCACATTGTTCTATTTTCTTCCAAAGCGATGGAAGCTTATGAAATCTTGGCTGTGAATCATTGCTCAAGTACTCTCTTGTTTGGACAATCTTGTAGAGATAGGCAACCTGTGAATTTCGTTTTCTCTCAATTCATCTAACTTCAGCAGCGAGGTTGTTTGTTTGTTAAAGTTGCATGAAAATTTGTACACTTTTTGTATGTAACTTTGTCTAATAGAGGCACTTTTGCAAGCAGCTCCCCCCAGCCCCCGCTATAAAGCTGCTTGAATGATATTTTCACCCGTATTTGCTTTTTTGTGTGCTCTTCCCCCTAATATACAAAAGCATTTTCTGTCTGGTGAAGGGCATCACAAAATTTGGAAAAGTGTGAAATCTGAAAGGTAGCTGAGCTTTGGCTGGTCTTGCTGGCTTGATCCCTGAGACGCTGCACCAGAACACAACAAAAAAGCCTCTTCCTGTGCTTCCTTCCACCTTCCTGAACCTGCTTTGGTCCTCCCTCCTCTGCCTCTAGCCTTGTGTGGAATGAAGATTTCCAGCTGTATCATCACCATTCTAGTTGTGCAGATAAGGTGAATGTGTTGGGGGTGGGGTGGATCTTGTGCGCTCACAGCCTCATGGAAAAAGAAAAATGGAGAGGAATGATAAAAGGCCAGAGTCAGAGGCAGAAGGAGGGCCAGAGAGTGAGTTTGCAGAGGACAGAAGGAGGACTCTCCACCTCTTCAGAGACTTTGCTATGAAGGGGACGTGTGGATGGTGGGAGGAAGTGTGGTCCAGAGGAAAAAGGAACATGGGAAGAGTCTGGCTGCTGGATCCGGCCAAACAGGGCTCCGCATGTCAGAGGTTATTGAGCTACTGCATCTGTATTGCAGGGGGTTGGTCTAGATGACCCTGGAACCCATGTCCTGCCCTACAATTCTATGATTCAACAAAACCAGATGACAGGAGCTGGCCTTGATACAGCCCATCACTATTTATTTCGTTTTCTTTTCTTTTAAAAACTGTATCTTACATGCAGTTTGGCCCTATGAATGCTGAATACAAAAAGAAGAAGGAACGGAAAGGCAAAGGAATAATTAAAATTAATTTAAAAGGTGTAGTCAAAAATAGTTACAAATTGTTATTGGTTTCCACATATAAAGAGTGTTGTCCAAAATGAAAAGCTGAAAGTTTATCGCTGTCAAGCACCTTTACTTTTCATTTGCGTTTTTCAGATGTTGGTCTAAAATTGGAGATGTAAAAGGAGGCCAGAACCTTTCTGTTGGTGCAGGATGTGACACCAAAGGCATCATATCTCATGAGATCTTACATGCTTTGGGACGTATCCATGAGCAGACACGGGCAGACCGAGATGATTATGTCGAGATCTGGTGGGATCACGTGCTTCCAGGTTGGTGTTCAGACCCTTGAAATGAGTTGGGATGTGGACATTGCGGCTGCCTTGTTTCTGCTCCTGCGGATGCCAGGGGAAATGGGGGAAAGGACTTTGGAGAACAGATGGGTGATTGATCTCGCCTCTGGTGCTATGTATTATTCCTCTGCCTTATACGAAACATTCATTCAAGAGAATATACATATGCATGCTCAGCAGTTAGAACAGGCATAGGCAAACTCGGCCCTCCCGATGTTTTTGGGACTACAACTCCCATCATCCCTGACCACTGGTCCTGTCAGCTAGGGGTCATGGGAGTTGTAGTCCCAAAACATCAGGAGGGCCTATGCCTGAGTTAGAACAATTGAAATGGTTTATTGTCAAGAAATTTGAAGCTACTGAAATGGCTTTACAATTGCCCATCTACCTAAGTGGTATTATTATTATTATTATTACCCAAGATGGGTTACAACAATGTAAAAATACAATATTAAATATTTTGTAAATGCCTTTAATTTCATATATCCCTAAATATACTGTAATATTCACACATTATATGCCCACAAAACCAGGCTTTCTACTAAGTGTAACTCAACAGACAATCCCAATTCTCTGATTATTATATATGTATGATGCACATGTTTTCAAGAACTAATTTGTTACTTTCGTGGTCAATTGTTTTTTTAAAGTTTAGTCATTAGCCATAACCAATTACCAAAAATTAAATTAAAAACAAAATTGAATGGCCCTGGGATCTTCAGATGAAGAGTGGTATACAATTATTATTATTATTATTATTATTATTATTATTATTATTATTAGCAAGAAGAACAGTCTGACATTTGCAACACAATTAATCCCATTTAGCTTAATTCATAGAATCATAGAATCATAGAGTTGGAAGCGACCACAAGGGCCATCGAGTCCAACCCCCTTCCAAGCAGGAAACACCATCAGAGCACTCCTGACATATGGTTGTCAAGCCTCTGCTTAAAGACCTCCAAAGAAGGAGACTCCACCACACTCCTTGGCAGCAAATTCCACTGTCGAACAGCTCTCACTGTCAGGAAGTTCTTCCTAATGTTTAGGTGGAATCTTCTTTCTTGTGGTTTGGATCCATTGCTCTGTGTCCGCTTCTCTGGAGCAGCAGAAAACAACCTTTCTCCCTCCTCTATGTGACATCCTTTTATATATTTGAACATGGCTATCATATCACCCCTTAACCTCCTCTTCTCCAGGCTAAACATGCCCAGCTCCCTTAGCCGTTCCTCATAAGGCATCGTTCCCAGGCCTTTGACCATTTTGGTTGCCCTCCTCTGGACACGTTCCAGTTTGTCAGTGTCCTTCTTGAACTGTGGTGCCCAGAACTGGACACAGTACTCCAGTACTCCACAGTACAGCATCAGACATTAAAAACTTCCCTAAAGAGGGCTGCCTTCAGTTGTCTTTTAAAAGTAAAATAGTTGTTTATTGCTTTGACATCTGCTGGGAGGGCGTTCCACAGGGCAGGCGCCACTACCGAGAAGGCCCTCTGTCTGGTTCCCTGTAACCTTACTTCTCGCAATAAGGGAACCGCCAGAAGGCCCTCGGCGCTGGATCTCAGTGTCCGGGCTGAATGATGGGGCTGGAGATGCTCCTTCAGGTATACAGGACCGAGGCCGTTTAGGGCTTTAAAGGTCAGCACCAACACTTTGAATTGTGCTTGGAAACGTACTGGGAGCCAATGCAGATCTCTCAGAACCGGTGTTATGTGGTCCCGGCGGCCACTCCCAGTCACCAGTCTAGCTGCCGCATTCTGGATTAATTGCAGTTTCCGGGCCACCTTCAAAGGTAGCCCCACGTAGAGCACGTTGCAGTAGTCCAAGCGGGAGATAACTAGAGCATGCACCACTCTGGCAAGACAGTCCGCGGGCAGGTAGGGTCTTAGCCTGCGTACCAGGTGGAGCTGGTAGACAGCTGCCCTGGACACAGAATTAACCTGCGCCTCCATGGACAGCTGTGAGTCCAAAATGACTCCCAGGCTGCGCACCTGGTCCTTCAGGGACACAGTTACCCCATTCAGGACCAGGGAATCCCCCACACCCGCCCGCCCCCTGTCCCCCAAAAACAGTACTTCTGTCTTGTCAGGATTCAACCTCAATCTGTTAGCCGCCATCCATCCTCCAACAGCCTTCAGGCACTCACACAGGACCTTCACCGCCTTCACTGGTTCTGATTTAAAGGAGAGGTAGAGCTGGGTGTCATCTGCATACTGATGAACACCCAGCCCAAACCCCCTGATGATCTCTCCCAGCGGCTTCATATAGATATTAAAAAGCATGGGGGAGAGGACGAAACCCTGAGGCACCCCACAAGTGAGAGCCCAGGGGTCTGAACACTCATCCTCCACCACCACTTTCTGGAAACGACCCAGGAGAAAGGAGTGGAACCACCGTATAACAGTGCCCCCAGCTCCCAGCCCCTCTAGAAGGTCCAGAAGGATGTTATGGTCGATGGTGTCAAAGGCCGCTGAGAGATCCAGCAGAACTAGGAAACAGCTCTCACCTTTGTCCCTAGCCCGCCGGAGATCATCAACCAGCGCGACCAAGGCAGTTTCAGTCCCATGGTGAGGCCTGAATCCCGATTGGAAGGGATCCAAATGGTCCGCATCCTCCAGGCGTGCTTGGAGTTGTTTGGCAACCACCCGCTCAATCACCTTTCCCAAGAATGGTAGATTTGAGACTGGGCGATAGTTGGCCAAATTGGCTGGGTCTAAAGATGTTTTTTTAAGAAGCGGTTTAATGACTGCCTCTTTCAGCAGGTCTGGGAAGGCTCCCTCACAGAGGGAAGCATTCACCACCCCGCAGAGCCCATCGCCCAGCCCTTCCCGGCTCGCTTTTATCAGCCACGACGGGCAAGGATCAAGGAGACAAGTGGTTGGTTTCACTTGTCCAAGCAGCCTGTCCACATCCTCGGAGGTAACAGATTGGAATTGATCCCATGTAACAGGACTAGACAGAACTCTAGCACTCTCCCGCCCTGGCCCTGCTCCTACGGTGGAGTCTACCTCCTTCTGAATCTGAGCGACTTTATCTGCAAAAAACTTTGCAAAAGCATTGCAGGAGATCTTGGGGTCCCTACCAGGTCCTCAGTGGTGCAGGTGGTTCTGATAGATTGCGAACCACCTGAAAAAGTCTCCTGCTGCTGTTTTCTGCAGATGCAATGGAGGCGGTGAAGAAGGCCCTCTTCGCCGTCGCCATTGCCACTTGGTAGGCTTGACGTTGAGCTCTAGCCTGTGTCCGGTCTGATTCAGAATGAGTTTTCCGCCACCGGCGCTCTAGCCGTCTCAACGATTGTTTCATCACCCTCAGCTCCGGGGAAAACCACCATGCAATTGGAGAGGGCGCTTCGGAGCCAGACAGTCAATAGCCCTGGTTAACTCCGCATTCCAGCAGGCCACCAGGGAATCAGCTGAAAGGCCATCAACTTGGGATAAAACATCCCCTACCAGTCTCTGGAAGCCAATTGGATCCATTAAGTGGCGGGGGCGGACCATCCGAATCGGTCCCACCTCCCTGCAGAGGGGAAGAGTCGCGGAGAAGTCCAGTTGCACCAGGAAGTGATCTGACCATGGCACTTCTTTTGTTTCGCTTTTAGTTAATGTCAGATCACCAACATCCGTAGAGGTAAACACCAAGTCTAAGGCATGTCCGCGGCTATGAATTGGGCCAAAATTATTCAGGGACAGCCCCATGGAGGCCATGCTTTCCACGAAGTCCTGAGCGGCCCCTTGTAAGGTTGTGTCGGCATGGATGTTAAAATCCCCCAGGACAACCAAGCTAGGTGTCTCCAGGAGCATATCCGCCACGACCTGAAGCAGCTCGGGCAGGGAATCCTTGGTGCAGCGGGGAGGTCGGTACACCAATAGGAATCCTGTACTGCCCCTATTGCCCATGCAATAGTTCATGCTCTTAACTAGCACACATTAGTTGAGGTCATAATTTTTCTACACATATTTGTTCAGAGGGTGACCCCCCCCCCAAGTCATCTTACGAGTCGAAGGTGGCAGCCATGGCCCTGATGAAATCATGGCATCCTGTTCCATAATCAAGTCAGTTGGCAGAGCGTGGGTTGCAAGCCCTTTGCGAGGTCTTCCAGAAAGTAACTGTGTGGTGTATATTTTGCATGCAGATCAAGAGTACAACTTTAAGAAAGCGGATGATGACGATATAACAGACTTGAATACTCCTTATGATTACGAGTCCATCATGCACTATGGTCCATCTTCATTTAGTAAAAATGAAAGCTTAAAAACAATTACTACGAAAATACCAGAATTTAATAACATTATTGGCCAACGCTTGGATTTCAGCGCTTCTGACCTGGAAAGACTCAATCAAATGTACAACTGCAGTAAGTCATGATGAGACAGTGAAGTTTGCAGAGTGAAACTGAATCCATTGCCTTTGAATAAAACTGATTAAATGGTTTTGTTAAATGGAAATGGGAAAGGCACTTCTCTTTAATTTTTAAATATTTCTTTCTGTATTTTTATTCTCCCCTCATTCCTGCCCCAGCGAGAACTGTCACCCTTTTGGACCAATGTGATTTTGAGTCAGCTGATATATGTGGCCTGGTTGAGAAAACCAGTGGAGATACCAACTGGATTCGTAAGAAGAGTGGCCAAGACCATACCCTCTCTGGACGCTGCAAAGGTAAACTGGGGACAATCCCCTCCTTCTTTCATGGGACCAGTTCTTTGCTTCTTGATTTGATCACTGTGTTATCTCCTGTTGACTCAGTGGAAAGTCTGTCACAACTCTTGGCTTTGCCATTTTCCTGAGCTTCCGATCATCTTGGCCCAAAGTGAAGTGGAAGACATGCCAAATGAGTCTTTAATCCAGACAGCGGTTCCAGTAGTTACATTTTATACTTCTAAGAATAGTCTGAGACTAGTCAATTAAAGTGTGCAAAACTAACGTAAGGAGCATTTGCAACAGGAGCAATTGCTTCCAGTTCTGCACTTCTATGATCCTAGATTTGTCGTGTTCATCATTCAAGTGAAAGGGAATTGAATGGGGCCACTTAAGGAGCTGGACTCTGGCAGCTTTAATGCAATGAAGTTTTTGTGGTGTTGGAGAAGGACCACATTTGTGTCAGCAGCAGTGTCCTGTTCAACCCCCAAGTGAAAGAATTGGACTCCTTGATGCCAGATTTGCATCAATTTATTGTTTTGCATAGAATCTGTGTGCAAAAGAATAAAAGGACAGAAACCTGACTCCACAAAAGAGACGCAAGGGAGAGAACCGTCTTGCAGGAGGACTCCATTCTGGGTGACCCCAGTGCTGCACTAGATGATACTGGAGAAGGGAAAACGGGGAAGCATCTGCCTCCTCCATTTGATAGAATTCACTGAACTTCAGATATGTGGGGCTACTTCCGCTTCTGGAGCCTAGCCAGTGGCTTAAGCCCTGCCAGTGGTGAGGTGGGGGGTGGGCCTTTACTCACCTGTCTCCCAGTTCGCCCCCTCACATTGCAGCCAGTAGGTCAGAATTCACCACATCAGCTTGAGGATTGGCATAGTTGAGGAACCATTTAGCAGGAGTGGCCGGGGGATGAGGATTCTGTAGATCCTCTACTATTCCTCAACACACACAAACACCCCCCCCCCCGACCTGACCTGTTTGGTTCCCTCTGCAAGTGGGACCAGGGCCAAGTCACTGCCTCTCTGCCAGCAAAGCAGCCCTTTTGTCACATCAAACAGCCCTTGGCTGGCTTTAGGGCTGCAGCCTTCATTGCATACAATTTAAGAAGAAGGGAAAAAACACATAACTTGCCAATATTCATTCCATTCCGTTTGATAACTGAAGTGATTGAGGGTCTTGGAAGCCTTCGCTTGGTAAGAAGAATCTAACAGAGACCCTTAGCCCCTCGAAGAGCCATAGTACCCAGGACTCTTAGGAAAGCCAATGACTGCTCAGCCATTTTAATACCATGAAGCAGATATGCCCCTAAGTGCTCAGTTTTTTCAAATTTTTGGAACCCAGTGAAAATAAAATTCTCAGTATTTGTAAGTTATAAAAAATTACAGACATTGTGATTCAGGTTGTACGTAGCTCATTGGGTAGAGCATGAGACTCTTAATCTCGGAGTCGCTGGTTCAAGCCCCACGTTGGGCAAATGATTCCTGTTGGACTAGATGATCCTTGTGGTCCCTTCCAGTTCTATTATTCTGTGGTTCTAAGAGGTAGCATATGCATAATAATGCTTGATACGCCTTCAGTAGCGCTGGCTTCTTCTCCACAGATGCCGGCTATTTCATGTACTTTAACACCAGTTTTGGGAAGAGAGGCGAAACAGCGATTTTAGAATCCCGCATTCTGTACCCAAAGAGGAGAAACCAGTGTCTCCAGTTCTTCTTCAAAATGACAGGAAGCCTCTGGGACAGGCTTTTCATCCAGGTGGTCAAGGATGACGGCACCGGAGAAGTCCGCAGGCTGGTTAAAGCCAAAACATTTCAAGGTAATGTTGAAAACCAGTAAAAGATTTTTGGAGTGTTCTAAGCATACAGTGATACCTCGGGTTAAAAACTTAATTCGTTCCAGAGGTCCGTTCTTAACCTGAAACGGTTCATAACCTGAGGTGTGCTAATGGGGCCTTCTGCTGCCACTGCGCCACTGGCATGCGATTTCCATTCTTATCCTGGGGCAAAGTTCTTAACCTGGAGCAACCACTTCCTGGTTAGCGGAGTTTGTAACCCAAAGCATCTATAACCTGAAGCGTCTGAAACCCGAGGTACCAGTGTACCTTGTTTTAAGACCACAGCAAGATTTTATATCATTTTGGCAGTGACTGCAATGGCCAAGGACTTTGGTGGTCATATATTTGGAGCAGATTCTCACTCACGAATAACTCCTGCATAGGAAAAAGATGTAGGAAATATGAGCAACATCCTTTATGAAGACTGTGCAAGTGTCTGTTTCACCAGATTTTCCAGGGTTCTAAAATGCACAGAACCCTGCATCAGATAGCCACCTTCCATTTGGCCACAGAGGCAAGCTGCTTCTTCCTGCTGTCCCCTCATCAGTTTACTGCCTCTGTTAGTGGCACATGTGTGGATTATTCTAGGTTAATACAGCATTACTAAGAGCTGGAGTCAAGCAGCAATGGGTTCCAGGAAATAAGTTATGCTTTTACAATTAATGGCAATTTTGCTATCAGCAGATACAGCAGGTTTTAGGGATAAATGATTCAGATAATTTCTGGGTCATTCCACTTCTGCATATTTTGAGGGGCTGGAGTCTCTTTTGTCCAATTTCAGCAATAATGTGCAGGTGTTTGGTTTTTGTTTTTTAAAGAAGAATTCCACATAAAACTCTGATATGAGCGCCAACATGGTCATCTTTCTCATATGCTGTAATGAGTATGGGTTGCTCGTGCGTAAGTTGCCGCCTCTCCTGGCTATGTTGCCTTGTTAAACCTTTCTGTCTGGACAGCCCTTCACTTCGTGGCTGCCTCAGTCGCTAGCAGAATCCGTCAGTGGGCGTTTCTTAAACCTTTTCCAACATAAAAGTTGTTTGACGCCAAGTCTCCTCCTACTCTCCCTGCGCGGAAGCCTTCTGCGCAGGGAGGGCGTGGGTAGCGGAGGACCCGTGCTCTCCCCGCTGGTGTCCGGTGAAGAGTCCTGGAGCCCTCTCGCCGATTCCCCCATCTGCCCCCCTTTATCCCTGGTGTTGTGCTGATTTGCTTCCCCATCTGCTGAGCTGCCTCTCTCCCTGCTGGGCCCTTCTCCAGCATCATTAGAGAGCCTTCCCTACGCCTCTAGCTCCGATGTCAGTTCCCTGACATATGCCAACACAGAAGTCACAGTGTCTGTCTTTACTTCCCATAGGAGACAGCGACCATAACTGGAAAATTGCGCATGTGACTCTGAAAAATAAAAAAAAATTCAGGTATCTCTTCCATGGCCTAAAAGGCAATCCCGATGACTCATCTGGAGGAATTTTCATTGATGACATCACCCTGAGTGAAACGCGGTGCCCCAGTGCTGTCTGGCTTATTCGCAACTTCTCTCATCTTCTTAGAACTGCCCCCGAAGACTATGCCATGCTCAGTCCCCGGTTTTATAGCTCTGAAGGCTATGGTTTTGGCATAACGTTGTATCCCAGAGGCCAGAGTGATTCTGCTTCGGCAAACTACACAAGGATTTCTTTTCACCTGGCTAGTGGAGAAAACGATGGTGTCCTGGAGTGGCCAGCTCTCAACAGGCAGGTGACCATCAAGCTGCTAGACCAGCATACCAATATCAAGGAAAGGAGGTCCATCGAGAGGAGTTTCACAACAGATGAATCACAGGTTCTGCCAGGTAGGTAGCTTCTGCCTGATAAGGCAAGAGGGGAGTGAGTGGTTCAATGTTTTTGCCTCCCTGAGATGCTGGAATACAAAATGCGGGAGCTTTTGCTCAAGATTACAAGCAAATGTCACAGAAGATGCTGAGAGTAAAATTCTTTATTTGTGTGCTGTTAATTCAGCAAAGGACGAATTTGCTCTTTAACAATCCAGGGAGACAGGGAATGAAGCATAAACTGTGATTTAAAAAAACCCCGTCACAGAAACAAGTTTGTAACAGGAACAAACCTTTGGTGTAAAATGCTTCCTTTAAGGCACATTGATACCTTCAGGTAATAATAATACTATGACATTTGAAGGACATAAAGCAACTGAAAGCAATATAGCAAATCAAAGGAGGGAGCTGCTGCTGCTCCTGCCTCTTGTCCCTCTTGTCATGCTCTGAGGGGGCAGTTGGAAAAGTAGCAAAGCAGCAAGGAGGAAGCCATGAGGGGCTAGCGGGGGCTGAGATTCTGTTTTTGGTGCCAGAGCTTCCTTCTGCAATGCCTCACCCATTCTTTCATCTGATTCATCTCCTGCAGCTTCCCCACCAAATTTGTTCTCAAGGCAGCATGCTAAAGTTAAAACCAACACAACGGCTTAACAAAGGAAGGGTATTTTTTTCTCCCAGCTAGAAAACTCTATCTGGAATTCAACATAGTTCTAAGTGGCGTATGATAAGGTTGCCAGACGTCCCCGTTTCCCAGGCACAGTCCCCGGATTTACAAATCAGTCCTCTGACAAAATCCATCTATTTAGCAGGAAGTTGAAAAGTGTCCCCGGATTTATTGAAAAAAATCTGGTACCCTTAGGGTATGAGCCTGCGAAGATGGGAATGCAGGACAGCTCTGCTTTGAAAAACTGTTAGTGGTTGTCATGTGTTTCCTTTTGAAAGTGAGCTGGCTTCTGGTGTCACAGGGAAGGCCCTCAAACAGAAGGCCCGCCAAATTTCTGGTGTCCTGGGCCCTCATGGCAAGGCCTCAAGTATCCAGGACCCAGATTACTTTTGGGCTTTAAGTGTCAAAGCCAGCACTTCCAAGTCAGCCTAGAATCTAAGTTGCAATCCTTGCAGCTCCTCACAGAGTGGATCACATGGTCTCTCAGACTGTCAGCTGTCGGGCTGATGCCTCCTGGACCGACTGACGTTTCTGAATGCTCTTCAAGGCCTGTGCAGGCAGCATTGCACTAGTCCAAAGTAGGGTATGTGCACATTGGCAGCTTAAAAGGCAGAGGTTGCTTCCCCCCTGCTTTCCAAGTCGCATTTGATAGGAAGCCTCCGAGGGCGGGAGCAAGACGGGAAGCCTGGGGAGGGAAAAGTCCCCGGCTCTGGTGCTCCTGGAGACAATCATCACGACTGTAGTCAGTAATAGGATTGCCGACTTAATTTAGAATTTGTGTGCAGAGAGCAAACAGTGTTACTGCGTAATTTGTACTATTTTGTAGAAAAAAACGATTCTTCCCGATGGGGAAAGCCTTCTCTTCTGGGGAAATTTGATACTTCATGCAAATGCAGCCGGAGCATAGATCGAGGATGGAGCAAATTTGTGTCCCATGCACACCTAAGAGGAAGGAATTATCTGAAAAATGATGATCTTATTATCTTTGCAGAGTTTGATGGTATGGAAAAAGATTCTATTAGAAGATGGAAAGCAGAGTCTTTTCAGTTTTGACTTATTAAAAACAAAGAACAGAAAGTTATTTTTTCTTAAGTAAGGAAAAGGAAATAACAGTAAAGTATTATTGGGGCTCCATTTGAGCTAAGATTCTACAAAACCTAGCATTCAGTTCCTGGGATTTACTCTGAAGAGTAATAGTAAAAAAGTGTTAGTGAACAAGTACATAATGTTTTTCATTCATCACTGAGTAGCCACACATCTGGAATTAGCAGAAAGAACCTCCAGGGAATAATAATAATAATAATAATAATAATAATAATAATAATAATTTATTTTTTATACCCTGCCCGTCTGGTTGAGTTTCCCCAGCCATTCTGAGCGGCTCCTGATCGAGTGTTAAAAACAATACAGCATTAAATATTAAAACTTCCCTAAACAGGGCTGCCTTCAGATGTCTTCTAAAAGTCAGATAGTTGCTTATTTTCTTGGCATCTGCTGGGAGGGCGTTCCGCAGGGCAGGCGCCACCACCGAGAAGGCCCTCTGCCTGGTTCCCTGTAACCTCACTTCTCGCAATGAAGGGTAACGCCATACAAGTCTCATTTTTAGAAATTAAGCAATTTGCACCACTGTTCTCATTTATATAGATAGATTTTTATCCAATAGAGTGTGTATTATATATAACAAATGGCTCCAGCTTCTCAATATGTTTGGGTTTCTCTCCACCCACCCTCCACAACTGAGGACTAGGATTCTTACAAACAGCCACCTAGTATTTTATGAGAAAATTACAATTGTGTATAAAGGTTATTTACTTCTTTTTAGTGCAACATTTGACAAAGACATTTAGTTTTAGTCTGCATTGCTCAGCCTAGTTACAATTTTCATTTCATTTCATTTCATTTTAACCTACTGTAACCTATGCATTCTGGTTTTTTGCTGCTGCTTTAAATAAAATTAAATAAATTAGTAGGTGTAAGTTTTCATTTCAATTTTGGTTGAAAAATATGTGCCACATTTGTTTGGACCAGTCCTTTCTCTCTTTCTGAGTAAGATTTAACACATCTCAAGAAGACGGAACACATTTCCCCAGAAAAACGGCCTGTGGAACAGAATGACTCCCTGGAACGGAAAAAAAGATCAGCCTCTCTGGAAGACTGGCAGTCCTACCTGAGAGAACAGTGTGACCCAAATCCGTGCCAAAATGATGGCATTTGTGTAAAACTAAAAGGAAAAACAAGCTGCAGGTATCCTATGCTTTCATGGCATTTTTTTTCTTTCTCATTTATGTGCCACATGATTAGATCACAACAACAACAACAACAACTTCAAAGGTAAACTCCACCATGGGAGCAGGGCCAGGGTGGGAGAGTGCTAGAGTCCTGTCTACTCAAGTTGCATTCCAATCTGTTACCTCCAAAGATGTGGACAGGCTGCTTGGACGAGTGAAACCGACCACCTGTCTCCTTGTTCCTTGCCCTTGGCTTATAAAAGCTAGCCGGGAAGGGCTGGGCGATGGGCTTTGTGGGGTGGTGAATGCTTCTCTCTGTGAGGGAGCCTTCCCAGACCCGCTGAAAGAGGCAGTCATTAAACCGCTTCTTAAAAAAAATCTTTAGAACCGGCCAATTTGGCCAACTATCGCCCAGTCTCAAATCTTCCATTCTTGGGCAAGGTGATTGAGTGGGTGGTTGCCAAACAACTCCAAGCACGCCTGGAGGATGCGGACCATTTGGATCCCTTCCAGTCGGGATTCAGGCCTCATCATGGGACTGAAACTGCCTTGATTGCACTGGTCGATGAACTTCAGCCGGCTAGGGACAAGGGTGAGAGCTATTTCCTAGTTCTGGATCCCTCAGCGGCCTTTGATACCATCAACCATAACATCCTTCTGGACCATCTAGAGGGACTGGGAGCTGGGGGCACTGTTATACAGTGGTTCCGCTCCTTCCTCCTGGGTCGTGTCCAGAAAGTGGTGTTGGGGGATGAGTTTTCAGACTCCTAGGCCCTCACCTGTGGGGTCCCTTAGGGTTCCGTCCTCTCCCCCATGCTTTTTAACATCTATATGAAGCCTCTGGGAGAGATCATTAAGGGGTTTGGGCTGGGTGTTCATCAGTATGATGATACCTAGCTCTATCTCTCTTTCAAATCGGAACCAGTGAAGGCGATGAAGGTCCTGTGTGAGTGCCTGGAGGTAGTTGGAAGATGGATCACGGCTAACAGATTGAGGTTGAATCCTGATAAGACAGAAGTACTGTTTTGCGGGGACAAGGGGTGGGCAGGTGTGGAGGACTCCCTGGTCCTGAATGCGGTAACTGTGCCCCTGAAGGACCAGACGCGCAGCCTGGGAGTCATTTTGGGCTCACAGCTGTCCATGGAGGTTCAGGTCAATTCTGTGTCCAGGGCAGCTGTCTATCAGCTCCACCTGGTATGCAGGCTGAGACCCTCCCTGCCCGCAGACTGTCTGGCCAGAGTGGTGCATGCTCTGGTTATCTCCCTCTTGGACTACTGCAATGTGCTGTATCTGGGGCTACCTTTGAAGGTGACCCAGAAACTACAACTAATCCAGAATCCGGCAGCTAGACTGGTGACTGGAAGTGGCCGCCGAGACCACATAACACTGGTCTAGAAAGACCTACATTGGCTCCCAGCACGTTTCCGAGCACAATTCAAAGTGATGGTTCTGATCTTTAAAGCCCTAAACGGCTTCAGCCTAGTATACCCAAAGGAGCGTCTCCACCCCCATTGTTCACTGAGGTCCAGCTCTGAGGGCCTTCTGGCGATTCCCTCACTGCGAGAAGTGAGGTTACAGGGAACCACGCAGAGGGCCTTCTCAGTAGTGGCACCCTCCCTGTGGAACACCCCCCATCAGATGTCAAGGAAATAAACAACTACCTGACTTTCAGAAGACATCTGAAGGCAGCCCTGTTTAGGGAAGTTTTTAATGTTTGATGTTTTCTTGTGTTTTTAATATTCTGTTGGGAGCTGCTCAGAGTAACTGTGAAAACCCAGCCAGATGGACAGGGTATAAATAATATTATATCATCATCCTCATAATCTGTTTTGCCTTTGCTTTTCTTGCAAAAATTCCAGCCCATTGATGTTGCACTTGGATAGGGAAAGGACTTTGTGCCAGGGTGCCTCACCTTTCTTTGAGGGCTGCACTGAGCCACGGTCCTCTCTCCAGCAGCTGCAAGTGGGCAGTCCAAAGTATAAAAGTGAGCATGGCCAAAAGAAATGTATTATTACTACTACTACTACTACTACTACTACTATTATTATACAAATTTGGGCAGAAAATTTGGGCACAAAAGCCATTTGTACTGTAGCAGGGGACGCATGGTCAGTAAAAAGCAACAATTATTTTTATTTTTATTTTATTTTTTATTAAGGAACGAAGGAAGAGTCCCAAAACTCCTTTTAGTATCACAAAGGGGCTCTATTGGAGCAGTCTGTTAAAAAAAAAAAGAATTGCAGGGACCATGGGGGTGGCACATAAAACTTTGTGGCATCACAGGAGCAGTCAATCATTTAAGGAGGTTTCTTAATTACAAATTTATAGGGGTCTTTGCAAACACACCAAAAGACTTGGCGGGGGCTCAGTTACAGCCCCTGGGGTGCCAGTTAGCCCCCCCCCCCATGCAGAGGGAGGCTACTCTGTGTGTGCTTTGGAAGCATAGGTACAGCTTTTCTCCATGAAGCAATGTCAACAGAAGCTACACCTGTTGAATTTTCTCCTACCTGAGATCTACGGATGAAGGGTGGTATATAAATTTAATAAACAATAACAGTAATAAATAGCATGCAGCTATTAAAGGCCCCAGAACACCACCCTTCAAGCTCTTAATTTAGCATTTACCTCTGTCCCTAAAATCTTGGCAGTCTTTGAAGCGGGCCAACATGGGCAATGGCAGTCTGGTTGCTCTGAACATGGAGACATGCATTAGGTCACAGCTCATATTGGGATTATGGTGGTGACACATTTTCTGGGCTGGGCTTTAAGACTAATAAGGGGCAGGGAGGCTAACCTTTCCTTGAGGCAACGAAGCAGCTACCTTCCACTGGGAATTCCTGAACTCACATCAATGTTGTCCCTGAACAGTTTTCAAAGAAGCCTCCTGTTTACACTCTTCATTTGCATTTCGGCTGCTCTAAATTGTCATGGGGAGAAAATCCAAGCTCCAAAATAGACATTTTCCCTTCTTCTGTTTACAGGTGTGCTACAAGCTACCTCTTCTTCTACACAGGAGTGAGATGCCAGGTGACACATGTCCATTGGAACACCCTTGGTCTGTTAGCTGCTGGAGCTGTAGCACTAACCATAGTTACGATTTCCTTATTAGTTAGGCAATAGTCTTCCTTTTTCCAGAGTGTAGTTTTACAGTGATTTCATACTTTCCGTGAATTTTGTTGTAATTCCAACTCACCTGAACTCGATCATCTGAATTATGTGAAAGTGATAACATGATCACCTCCTGTCACCTCAGTCATGTGCTCCAAAACTGGAGGTCAAACAGGGAGGTGATAGAAGGTCCCGACTCCTTGTCTTGGTTTAACTTGACATAACAGATAACTGCCCTTAGAATCTCAATGGAGCATTAAACATGACTATGGCCTCTGTTGGAGTTCTGTTGATTTCATTGTGCAAGCAGAGTCTGTGGAGATGCGAGCAGATATTATGTGCCTGGTTAAGAAGGCGGAGGAGACCTCTTCAAAGTTGGCTTTGCATTCTTAGAGCGTTTGCACTGCGCAGTTCTGTTCCAGGCATAAGAATGTTGCAGTATCCTTTCTCCTTTCCTCCTAAAATGCTTTGCTGTTGGTTTTTATGGGTGTGTAGTCCTCAGCACCAAAGACAATGGGGCAAGGTTACTTGTGAATTACTGTTAACTCCAGATTAAAGTTGTGACACAATGTGTGGTACAATAGTTATCTATAGAATGCCAAAGGAATGAAACTGAGTTTCAAACTGAGTACTAGGGATGAAAAAGGTGCCTAGCTCAGTGGTAGAACATCTGCTCTGCATGCAGAAGGCTTCATCGCCACAGCATCTCTAAGCAGAGCAAGTTGCCTGAAACCCTAGAGAGCCGCTGCCGGTCCATGTGGACAGCACTGGGCAGTACGGACCAGTGGTCTGACTCATTAGAAGGCAGCTTCCTATCATTACAGAAATGGATTCATAAGTTAAAGGCACCTTTTTTTAGGTTTTCATCCTTTAAAAGGCTTGTTTTGTTTCTGGTTTGCTTTGCTTAAAAACACACTCTCTGCTTCTCAAAAGAAGGCCTCTTCTCAAACCTTAACCTTTGATACGTGGGTGTGACCCACTTAGAAATAAGCTGCCTGAGACGCTGTCGTGGAGGCCCTGGACGTTCTGGCATGAGAAAAGTTCACAAGGAGGTAGAAGTCACACAGTGTTTACAGTACGCCTCCAGTTTGGACCAGGAATACAGAGTAGAATAATCATGTTTTCTGGACTCCTACTCCGTCTCGTCTAGTGCCAGTTAAGAGCCGTCTCTGAATTTATCTGTGGAACTGACTCTTCTGGCATGTGGAACGGAACCACCTGAAGCAGCTTCTCCTGTGAACTGCGTACCTCAAGGGGAAACTGCTGGCATGAAACAAAAGCTGGCAAGTAGCAATTCCGCAACTATCTATAGTTGCTGTTTTAAAAGAAATGGTTAACGGAGGGCAAGGTGTTTGTTTAAACATGGTGCAAGCCCCTTTTATTAAGTATGACCATAAATAAATATATATTTACATGTTTACAGAAAAATTAGAAATTTCCCCTTCATTTTAGTAAAGCAAGGTGTATAACTGGAAATTGTTCTCTACTATAAAAGTAAAGTGCTTTATAGAGGGCAGTTTACACAACTGACTTGATAGTCCTAGTCCTCTTTCTTAAGCAGAAGTCCTACTTCATTCAACTTCACTCTTTCCTGTGCAGGTCAGTATAGCCTTGTCTCCTGGTGTCCCATCGGCCCTTGTGGGCGCCACAGGAATCCCCTCCCTCGCCCCCTCAAGGCCTCAAAGCCAGTGTGGTGTAGTGGTTAAGAGTGGTAGTCTCGTAATCTGGGGAACCGGGTTCGCGTCTCCGCTCCTCCACCTGCAGCTGCTGGGTGACCTTGGACCAGTCACACTTCTCTGAAGTCTCTCAGCCCCACTCACCTCACAGCGTGTTTGTTGTGGGGGAGGAAGGGAAAGGAGAATGTGTGCCGCTTTGAGACTCCTTCGGGTAGTGATAATGCGGGATATCAAATCCAAACTCTTCTTCTCCTATCCACCTGCCACGCTTTGCTCGGCCTTGGGCTGCTCCTGGAAGCGCAGCCCCCCAGCGGCCTTCAGGAGACAAAGCCTGTGCTGCCCAGCACCTGTGGCCTTTGGGCAGTGCCAGGCGCCCCTTTGGAAACCGGAGGGAGTGAGGAGAGAGGGGATGAGCTGGGGAGGGGAAGAGGGGAAGCCACAGAGCCTAGGGGGAATTTCTTTTCCATAAAATGCCACTGCAGGGGGCTCTACACTGTGTGGTGGTGGTGGTGGTGGTGGGGCTTAATGGTAGTGCAAATTACAATCCAGACTGAGACTCCAACAGGGAGCAAAAGGTGAAAACACATTATGCCCCACATATGAGGGTCCTGATGCACATCAGCCCCTTGGGCCTGCCATTTAGTGCTGAAAGCAGCCCAATTCATTTCAGTCAGAACATGTTTCGCATTTTTCAATTGGCTGTTGCAATGCAAATTGCTAGGCTTTGTCTGTGGTGTGTCCGTGTTTGCACATGCGTATCTGAACATCAGTTTTCTTCCAGTGAAGTTGGTATTTTATTGTGCTTTGTGAGAACAAATGCATTGTTTGGCTCAAACTTAACTGTGTTAGCTTCTTGAGCAATTTACTTGTGCTTTGTACTAGCAAGGCCCTCACAACCACCATTTTGTAGGAGGGCCCACAAGTTTTTCTGATTTTCCAGATGTGCCTATATGTATGAAAAGTTTGGGCGGTCCTGCTTCAAACATTGCAAAAAGCACAAAAAACAAACCCACCCAGAAATGCTACAATCCAGCAAGGAACTCGTTTGAGGTGCCTGGATACCTACTTTGCTGTGCTGTATCTCTCACTCTGCCCTGAAAGTCAGAGTGCCCAGTTGCTCTGGCACATCTACTGGTCCCATGACTGCAACAGGGCTGGGGAAAACACGACCATGTGTTGCAGGATTAGCGGGGCTCTGGCACAAGACGGCATTCAGCTTCTTATGGCGTTGGGACCCTCATCACTGAATTTCTTCTAGCATCAAGCAGATATTATAATTAACTTTCCAGACAGTGCATGGTATATCAAAGAAATATTTTGTTAAACTAATACGCCACAGTTCTTTACAGCCTATACGAAGTCCATGCTTCCATTATTCACCAATTATTTCCATGCTTATTGCCACATCAGGGGAAAGAGCCCAGAGGTCTTCCAAGCTTCTCAGTTTAGCAAAGAATATGCCTTTGAAGTGCTTTCAGAAGCTGAAGAAGATGCTGGTTCTGTAGAAGAGACTTGATATTTTCCTGCAGGACACAAAGGCAAAGTAATGTTCAAAAAATGTTGTTTCATTATTGGACATGTAAAGCACACACACAAACCCCTGCTCTGCCACTGTCAATGTGGCTGGCTGTTGCCAGAAAGTGCTCTTCTTGCTTGTTTAAGAGAACACAGCATAAAGTTAAACATTACTGCTTGAACAGTGTGCAAGAATAAACCACATTCAATTGTACTGCAATCACCATCGGTTTCCTTGCCGTGTACAGCATGCTTTGCCCTTTCTATCCTCCAGGGTCATATTCACAGAGGAGGGGGCTATCAGTGGCCCCCTAGCCAGGATGGCTCTGCTCTGCTCCTGCACACCACTTGCTGGAAACCAGGGGAGGGGAGGGAGCTGCTCTTGGGCTCATGTTTTGCTCCCTGGTTTCTCACAGGCATCTAGTGGGCCACGTGGCAATAGGGTGCTGGACTGGCTGGGCAGGGCCTCCTCCAGCAGACTCCCACCTTATGCCTGGCTGAAGGGTGGCTTCGATTAAGGCAGAGCTGTCCCTCTGCTCAGCTCTGGAATGGGGCCAGGGTCCCCGCAGCCACAGGAAGACCCTGAAATGGGGGGCGGGTCTTGGGGTAGAGAGAGGATGGCGCTGATCCAGCCTGGGATATGCTGGATTGCAAGTCTGTCTCGCTGCTGTTGAGTGGCAGCATTTGACCTGATCTGTGCCCAGACTCAAGCTCATGCGGCCATCGGGGTCTGTTTAGAGCCCAGGCCCCCTCCCCTTCCTCACTGTCTGCTGCCACTGCAGATACATTGCTGCCCTCTAAGGGTGGGAGTTTGGATTGCACCCTTATTCTGGCAAGAGGGCTTGGGCTGAGCTGTTGAAGGCCATCCAAGACAATGTTGTACGTGGGTCTCCATTGTTGAAGCGCAGCCTTTTAGGCACTGTTATTGCAGAGGCCCCCAACTGCTTTTGGAGGCTGATGGTAACCATGCTTGGAAAGCGCCTTCCCCTCATAATGAACTGAACCATCAGGGCATCACTTCCAGCAAGCAATGCTTTGCGCATCTGGCTTCTAGGGCATATCTGGCTTGTTGATGTTTTAACACAGCAGTTGGCCTTGCAGTGCCTTGAAATGGCATGAATCTGAAGGCCCAACTTACAGAAGGACATTTGAAATTGTACAAGGAAGTTGGTTGCTGATTACATACTGTACCTGTTTTGCCAAACCAGTTGTTTAAAGTTTTTGAGAATGGAGAACTGATGGAAAGCATAGGCGCTGACATGCCTTGGGATGTTGACTGTAAGACACAAGCACATCTTAGTGAAGAGCAAGCAGCATTTTCTATAGGACAGGCTTTTATTTTGTCTTAGCTTTAATCTGGCATTTGTGGAAAACCTCAAACTTAAAACTAAGTTAACTAACTTAAAACTAAGGATTGTCAAATTGAGCCCTGAACCAAATCAGGGGGCCCTTGCACAGTCCTCGTGCAAACCATAAGCACAGATAGAAAAGTGTTGGAGATAGCAAACATGTCCCTTGCACCAGAGTATGTATGGCGGAACCATATGGACCACGGAGGGCAGCTGCACTTTTAGCCCCACCCCAAACTTTGTGTTCCTCCCTTTAACTATTCCCCATGGTGCATATGTATCCTGACAAAGTCCAAGGGTCCTGGTCACATGCAGCCCCCGCACACAAACAGGAATTTGCACACAGAGCTTTCTATACAACCAAAGAAAAAGGATCCAACATTGTCTGAAAGCAGGGGGCCCCCCCCTCACACTGGGGGCTGCCAACAGGGCATTTAAAGGTGTCGTGGTGCTCAGGCCTCTGAGGAGGGCCACTCTGAGCTTGCTAGCTTTCTTTTAAGTATTTAGCAATCTTAGGAAGTTATCAAACAAAACTTGCAGGTCCTCTTCAAGGCAATTTCTGTGAAATGAGACAGACTGGCTGCTCCAATTGATAAGTTGCTCAAGAGTCCTCAAGAGCCGCTAATTTCTCCCCATCTGTAGTGAACGCTTCCTGCTTTTGTCTTACTTTCAAGTTCTTGGACCCTACATTGTTTGCCCTTCCTTTCCCCTAGATGCTAGGATGCATCTTCCATGGGGTGGGTTTGTCTGAGATCAGGTAGTCCCTAGGAGTTATTTTCCGCAAGAACTGCTACACAGTAAGTGTGAATGAATGCTGAATAATCACCCTTCCCCCACCCCCAACAAATGTAAATACTTTACAAAAAATGCTAAGGCACATCTCCTGCTTTGTTGTTGTTTAGTCGTTTAGTCGTATCCGACTCTTCGTGACCCCATGGACCAGAGCACACCAGGCACTCCTGTCTCCCACTGCCTCCCGCAGTTTGGTCAAACTCATGCTGGTAGCTTCGAAAACACTATCCAACCATCTCGTCCTCTGTCGTCCCCTTCTCCTTGTGCCCTCCATCCATCCCAACATCAGGGTCTTTTCCAGGGAGTCGTCTCTTCTCATGAGGTGGCCAAAGTCTTGGAGCCTCAGCTTCACGATCTGTCCTTCCAGTGAGCACTCAGGGCTGATTTCCTTAAGAATGGAGAGGTTTGATCTTCTTGCAGTCCATGGGACTCTCAAGAGTCTCCTCCAGCACCATAATTCAAAAGCATCCATTCTTCGGCAATCAGCCTTCTTTATGGTCCAGCTCTCACTTCCATACATCACTACTGGGAAAACCATAGCTTTAACTATACCGACCTTTGTTGGCAAGGTGATGTCTCTACCTTTTAAGATGCTGTCTAGGTTTGTCATTGCTTTCCTCCCAAGAAGCAGGCGTCTCTTAATTTCGTGGCTGCTGTCACCATCTACAGTGATCATGGAGCCCAAGAAAGTAAAATCTCTCACTGCCTCCATTTCTTCCCCTTCTATTTGCCAGGAGATGATGGGAACAGTGGCCATGATCTTAGTTTTTTTCATGTTGAGCTTCAGACCATATTTTGCGCTCCTCCCTTTTACCCTCATTAATTCTTTAATTGCTTCTCACTTTCTGCCATGAAGGTTGTGTCATCTGCATATCTGAGGTTGCTGATATTTCTTCCAGCAATCTTAATTCCGGCTTGGGATTCATCCAGTCCAGCCTTTCGCATGATGAATTCTGCATATAAGTTAAATACAGTGGTGCGAGGCAAGACGAATGCCTCGCAAGACGGAAAACCCACTAGACGAAAGGGTTTTCCGTTTTTGAGTTGCTTCGCAGGACGAATTTCCCTATGGGCTTGCTTCGCAAGACGAAAATGTCTTGCGAGTCTTGAGATTTTTTTTTCGCTCCCCCCCCCCTTTATCTAAGCTGCTAAGCCTTTAATAGCCTTTTAGCAGCTAATCCGCTAAGCCGATAAGCCTTTAATAGCCGCTAAACCGCTAATAGCGCTAATCCGTTAAGCCGCTAATAGGGTTGCTTCGCAAGACGAAAAAACCGCTAGACGAAGACACTCGCAGAACGGATTAATTTCGTCTTGCGTGGCACCACTGTAAGCAGGGAGACAATATACAGCCTTGTCATACTCCTTTCCCAATTTTGAACCAATCAGTTGTTCCATATCCAGTTCTAACTGTAGCTTCTTGTCCCACATAGAGATTTCTCAGGAGACAGATGAGGTGATCAGGCACTCCCATTTCCTTAAGAACTTGCCATAGTTTGCTGTGGTCGACGCAGTCAAATGTTTTTGCATAGTCAATGAAGCAGAAGTAGATGTCTTTCTGGAACTCTCTAGCTTTCTCCATAATCCAGCGCATGTTTGCAATTTGGTCTCTGGTTCCTCTGCCCTTTCGAAATCCAGCTTGCACTTCTGGGAGTTCTCGGTCCACATACTGCTTGAGCCTACCTTGTAGAATTTTAAGCATAACTTTGCTAGCGTGTGAAATGAGTGCAATTGTGCGGTAGTTGGAGCATTCTTTGGCACTGCCCTTCTTTGGGATTGGGATGTAGACTGATCTTCTCCAATCCTCTGGCCACTGCTGAGTTTTCCAAACTTGCTGGCATATTGAGTGTAGCACCTTAACAGCATCATCTTTTAAAATTTTAAATAGTTCAGCTGGAATACCATCACTTCCACTGGCCTTGTTATTAGCAGTGCTTTCTAAGGCCCATTTGACTTCACTCTCCAGGATGTCTGGCTCAAGGTCAGCAACCACACTACCTGGGGTGTACGAGCCATCCATTTCTTTCTGGTATAGTTCCTCTGTGTATTCTTGCCACCTCTTCTTGATGTCTTCTGCGTCTGTTAGGTCCTGCTATGCAGGAGCTAAATTAAGAATTCACTATATAGGTAACTCACAGTGCAATGGCATGCATGTTTACTCAGGGATGCTGAATAGTAGCCTAGCCTTTGGTTTAGGGTTAGCATGGGGCGGGGGAATTGGGTTCTTATGCTTTTAGCAGCTGTAGGACAGGCAGAAATTCAACAGATCAAGGCTTTTTTAGTATGGAAATACAATTATGAGAAAAGTTTCTCCATGACAGTACTCTCTCTAATCGTGTGTTATGCCATGCCTGCACAGCAGCCATCCAAATGTTGCCACTGATTCAAAAAGGTTGGCAGCCCCTGCTGTAAACCATTATGCCTTAAACATAAGAAAGACAGTCCATTACAAAATCCTGTTTGATGAGGATGGTGGTGATGGTGATATGTTTTTTCCATTCCCTCATTCCCTCCCTTTTCCTTATTGTGAACAGTTTCAAACACATACTCTTTATAAAGGTTGATAAAATAAAGGTTTTTTCATTCATTGTTGAGGGATTAAAATCAGAGAGAGTCTATTAAAAATTAGGCAGAGTGCAAGATTTAAAACAGTGCTTCCATTAGCAGTGGATATCTTCTGCATTTAGAAGAGCACCTTTGGCTCCAACCCACTATTTATTCCTGGAAATAATACTACCTTTGTGTGTTGTGAACTCCAGCTGGAGAGGGAACACTTTTTCCACAGAGCTTCCCATACCTGCACATTTGAAACAGAGGAAAGCCAATATAAAATAATCTCTGCAATTCAATATAATAAAATAAAGCTCTAATATTTTAAAATTCATTTCCTACCGTTCTATCTGAGAGGATTCCAAGCAGCAGAATGAATAATCCCTGCAAAATATTTTCATATTAATATTATACACATTTGTAAAATGGCACCCTAGATGCCTGAATCTAAAGGCCAAAGGATCTCTCTAATGTAATTCCAAAGAAAGAACAGCATTTCTGAACACTGATTGCCAAAGTGTATGGGGGAAAACATGGAGCCTAGGAGAAAAATAAGCAAGAAGTTTTGGATAACATTCTGGGGATTACAAACTAATCCTGATAACAAGCTTCAAAAGGTCAACAAGCAACATACTGGGGAAAGAGACCTCACATTGCAATCCTATGCGTTTCCTACTGAGTTCAATGAGACTTAGTCCCTGTTAAGTGGGATCAGAATTGTAGTATAACAGACCCTCCAAGTACCCCTATTTTTCCAGGGTCAGTTCCAGTTTCTGATTTGATCCTGGAATGAGACCTCCCCAGGTATAGGGCAGTATATTAAACAAACAAAAACAAACAAACACATATATAATGGAACAAGGAATCTTTCACAAACATTTGCTCCGCATGCAATTCTGGATTCAATCTAGAGGTGACTTTGAACTCACAGTCACAGGTGTTAATTTAGGATCAGGGCTGGCACTACAGTGCTTTGATCTCAGCATTTCTCAGGTCAGGAAATATATACTTCTAGTAAGTTTAATAGGAATATGTCCAGGAGAAGCAGGCCTGGGTCATCGGTCATGTGATGGCACAGGCTCTAGGAAAGGAGACGGCAGCCCCTTCACTCCTCCTGGCTTATGTCAACAGGAGTGTGTGAATCTGCACTTACATTGCTAGCAAAGTCTATTCAAACTCCTGAATGGGGGGGGGGGGCAAAGTAAGGGGGGTAGCAGTCTAAGACATAGAGCAACAAAGATAGGGCCAGGTTCAGTTAACGCTCACTATCACAGTATTTCACCAGATTTTAGCCATTTCCTCTCTAGGATGGGCAAGAGGAGAACGGGGCCAGGCTTAGCACAGAAGTCCAAATTCAGTGACATCGCTAGACTCTTACCACATGAAAAGTAACTATATGAATCACCTTCTCGTGTGTACAGTGGTACTGAGGAGTCCCAAGAAATGTTGACAATATTTTTTTATCAGTTAAGCATAGCAAACAGCTAGTATCTTTTATCTACTTACCTGAAAAGCATTGAAAAGAGTAAATAAGTAGTGGAATGCTCTAGGGCTTCCAGGGATAACTGTAGCAAGACCAAATAACCAGGTGAGGCCTAAGAGTGATGTCAGAACACCGATACACTTGGTGATGCGATACAATGAGCTCTTTTCTTTATTTATTGATTTTTCGCCGATGGAACGTCTTTGCATTTTTGCTATGACGACAATGGTAACAATCACATTGACAGCGACAATGATCATGGCAGGAATGACTAAGGCCAAGAGAGCTCTACTCTCATCCCAGTTGAGTAAACAGACCTTTTTTCTTGTGTAATGTGGGTGGGTGCTGCTTACGGTGATAGCAGATATAGCTAGTGGGCAAAAGTATCCCAAGCAGAAGCTAAGAGCTTTCATGATGGTCTTGCTTGCATTATGTACGATAAAGACTATGTGGTAGAACACCATGAGGCCCAAGGTTAGCATCCAAAAGAAGACACAGAGGTAGAAAAACTGAACAAAGAATGCTGCTGCTATGCAGAGCCAAGCCTGGTCCATTTTCGTGTTTGTGTCATGCATTGCTGCTACCACAATGAACCAGACGTCTGCAATCAGGAGAGAAATCGCTATGTTCAGTATGCAAACATGGCGCATGTAGGATATTCTTGCTTTGGTCACTGATTTCCACACGACAAATTCTATGCCAATGCAGGCCACCAGGCTCAATATAGAAATGCTCACACCAATGTAAGACATGTAATCCAACGTGTCCCATGGATCGTGACCGGGAGACATCAAAATGGAGAATGAAGTCAAGTGATTACAGGAGCAAGTGACATTGTCCCCATTCTCTGTGGTTTCACAGCCAGTAACGTCCCAACCTCCACCATCTTCTGAGAAGCTGAAATTCCAAAATACACATCGAGGATTTTTCAGGGTCTTGTTATCCTTCATAAATGTCATAATGATCCTGAACTCTTCACTTAGACTGCTGTTGGCATTGATTAGTGTTGTCATCACCAAACCATTTACTATGAATTCATCCATCTTCTTATACTGTGGAATAATAGGCCCCAAAGATGAGTAAGCCACACTGATGATGGTGGAGATTCCAGTTTCAATTTTTGCTTCGTTAATTAGCACACTACCACTGAGGTTTGAGGGCTTGGAGAATGTAAAGCTCTCGTCGTAGTCGGAAACCTTGCTTTTGTCAATGACCACACCTTTGAGCTGGAGGTTGTCATAGCTGATGGAAGGAATAGAATTGTTAATAGGTTGAAGGGAGCCAGAAAATTGCTCCACTGAAGCCAGTAATTGAGAAGTTCCATTCACAAAATCCTTCCAAGTTTTTGCTGGACTGCTGATAACCGTGTCTACTGTGGATAAAAAATTCTGCAATAATAAGAGAATAAAGAGATATTACTAAAGTCCAGTAACAAAATTATCAGTGTGCATTAGAAATTCCAATCCCTTTTCATTTAACACTAATCCACCTACCAACTTTTCAAATTATTATTATTATTATTGTTGTTGTTGTTGTTGTTATTATTATTATTATTATTATTATTTATTGAATTTATATATCACCCTTCATTCAAAGTTCACAGGGTAGTTTACAATATATAAATCCCAAAATACATAACATAAGAACAAGCAAAACAATAACCCAGCCACCCACCCTCTCGTTTTAAAGGCCATAGATAGTTTCACTAGCCTTTTCAAAGGTCAAATGGTTGAAAGCTCAAGCTCCTCTCATATTTCAAATACATTATTAGATACAGATACTGATTTTATCATATTGTGATGCTGTCATATCCAACAGTCAATCAACCTATAACATCCACAGCAAGCCATGAGGCTGTGCTGTAGAACAGTCTGAGGTCCTGCATACGTATTTGTTTCGTGGTAGAAACTGAAACTTTGCCTCAGTTTGCTCATTATTATTTAGGAAAAGTATAGTTCTTGATTTAACTTCTGTAAGAATTATTGGAACAAACTCTTGATATTTCCACATTGATCCTGATGCTTTCTCATTTTCTTCTTTCCTGATCTACTCTGTCATGCTCTTGTGAATAGGTGTGTGAATCTGAACTTATTCCTATGATTTATCTAATAGCATTGAAATAAAAGCTTGACATAACTGAAATATGACATGAGATTCTCCACCACAAACCTTCCTTGACCTTGGTACAAACCTGATGCCAGCCTCATCTCAAAACATGTCCTAAAGGCACTCTGAGAAACACCCTCAAACCTTGCATAAATCAAGCTGTCTATTCAACTCCTGAATGGGAGTCAGCAGACAAAAGATAGCCAGTTCAGCCACAGCCCACTAAGATGACTTTCATGCAAACATTTAATTTGCAAGATGGGCGAGGTGAGAAGCAGGCAGAAATTCTGGGATGAATTCAAATGTATAACAAAACTAGCTGAAGGAGAAAACAAGCTTGCGTCAACTTCCATGTGACAGCCCTTTAGATATTTGAAGATGGCTCTCAGTCTCCTCTTTTCCAGGCAGATGAAAAGAAAGGAGTTCTCAACTTCTGCAAAGTCCTCTGTAACTTACTTCCATTGTTTCCCGCTCAGCAGCTACCGGCACGACTGAAACCATATTCAAAATTTCCACAACAGCTTTCAGGTTTGCAACAGCTTTCATACTTTGCTGCTGTTGCTTGATGGTACGGTTCAGGTGGCTGAGGAATTCAGGCAAATTCTTCTTTTGCTCAGGACTAGACACCAAAGACTAGAATTAAAGTTAAATGTGTTAAACACAGAGTAAATTGCACTTAAGGCTTGTTATTCTCTTCAGATTCTCTTCAGCCAGCTGGAAGAGGCACAGAATGTTGTGAAATTAATTCTAGAAGGGAATCTTGCTTCACAAAAGTGCAATTTCCTGATTTCCCAGGTGACCGTCACTTGTGGCACAACCAACTTTTCCTGGTTTGGCTCCCACGGCTTCAGCAGCTAAATGATAGAGACACACTGAACAGGCCGGGATTCTCTTTGGTGTTTCTTTGTTCAATGAAATAGGACGGAGCTGGGGGAGGAAAGTGGATTTCTGTTCGAAAAGCTTTGGATGCCCTGGGAGCCTTGCTACAGAGAGGTGGAAACACTATTCAGCAGTATGCAACTTGGGGCACATCTACACTTGTGTTTGTAATGTTAGGAAAGGTTAAGGAAGAGTTGTGATAACGCAAAGGGACAAATGACTTGTTGCTTTTAACATTCTTAATTTGTTATTAAAATGTGACACCAGAGGGCGCTGCAGAGCAAGTGTTTTGACGAAAATAAACCATTTTTAAGTATAAGTATGCCCTGGGACATTTTAGAACGATAGATCTAATATCATTCTAATAACGTTAAAACCGGTCAGAGTAGATACAGCCCCAGTGCCAAATTCATTTCCATAACATCCATAGCTGGAGATCACATCAGGTGTGCAGTTTAGTGCTAATGCAGCTGCCTAATGTGTTGGCTCCATTGCCATTCTGGGGGCTTCCCGAAGGGGGGTTAATATTGCAAGTGGGTTGTTCAGATACCACAAACTGGTCATTGACACTGGGGTCTTTTTAACTTGCTAGATTTTCTGCTGAAAGGGAAAACCCAGGTCAATGCAAAAAAAAAAAGCAGGTTGGGACTTTGATGCAGACAAGGTTGTGTGGCTGCTGTGACAGCAAAACAAAGCCCACATTCCAGTGCATGAGCAGCAGCCCACAAGAAACTCTCCTCCCTGAGCTGGAGGCTGCCCTTCGCCCTGTTCTCACAGAAGCTCAGGGACTGTGATGGCAGCGAAGGAATAAAGATCCCCTCCCCCATGATTCTGGCTCCCCCCCCTGAACAGTCATGGGAGATGTGGGAAAGGATAGATGCTTATTATTATATTAATAATATAAATAAATAAATAAATAAATAAATAAACAAACAAACAAACAAACAAACAAACAAACAAACAAACAAACCTGTTCCTGGGCTTATCTCACTTATTTCTTTGCAAGCTGTTCAAAGACCATCTGTTTTAAGGGACAGCGCAAAGCTTCTAAAGAACCTACACCATAGCTGTCAACATTTCCCTTTTTTAAAGGGAAATTCCCTTATTCCGAATAGGATTCCTCACAAGAAAATGGAAAAGTTGACAGCTATGACTTACACAAAACCCCAAAATGCAATCAAACTCACTCAGGTGTCTTCAATTTGTCATAAAGTGGAGATAACCCAGTATATACAGCCCTTGAAGTCTTTGAAGAGCTTACAAAAAAATAAGTGAGATCAGCCCCTGAGGAAAGCTTACCAGAGACAAAACATGTTGGACTACTAATAAAATAATAAGCACTCATCCTGCCAGAGGTACAGGGCAGCCCAGCCGAAGCATCTCTGGCAGCAGAAGCCCCCAAGGCACTTCCCCCGCAGGTGGCAGAGGCAGCGTGGAGGGTGGCAGTGGGGGGCATGGCAGCAGGGCCAGTTGGCAGAGGCGGCAAGAGTGGCAGACTGTCTGGCCAGAGTGGTGCATGCTCTGGTTATCTCCCGCTTGGACTACTGCAGTGCGCTCTATGTGGGGCTACCTTTGAAGGTGACCCAGAAACTACAATTAATCCAGAATGCGGCAGCTAGATTGGTGACTGGGAGCGGCCACCATATAACACCAGTCTTGAAAGACCTACATTGGCTCCCATACATTTCCAAGCACAATTCTGTTGGTGCTGACCTTTAAAGCCCTAAACGGCCTCAATCCTGTATACCTGAAGGAGCGTCTCCACCCCCATTTTTCAGCCTAGACACTGAGGTCCAGCTCCGAGGACCTTCTGGCGGTTCCCTCACTGTGAGAAGGGAAGGTACAGGGAACCAGGCAGAGGGCCTTCTTGGTAGTGGCTCCCACCCTGTGGAACACCTTCCCATCATATGTCAAAGAAATAAACAACCATTGGACTTTTAGAAGACATCTGAAGGCAGCCCTGTTTAGGGAAGTTTTTAATGTTTGATGTTTTATCACTTTAATAATAATAATAATCTGTTGTGAGCTGCCTAGAGTGGCTGGGGAAACCCAGCCAGATGGGCAGGGAATAAATAATAAAATAATAATAATAATAATAATAATAATAATAATAATAATTATTCTACTCCTATGTGTTCCCTCCAAATGAATGCTTCATACTTTGTGACGTCTCTGTCACCATTTTAAAAGCTCTTAAACCTGCTGATATATCCCAGCCATGTTCTGTTTACATATGTGATCAACTCGTTTTGCACAAGGCTGCTAATTTGAGTTGTTGCAGTGTATAATGTTTAGTTTTAAAAATCAATTACTCTGAATAGTCTGGAGGCAACCTGTGCTCCAGACAAAGGGATGCTTTTACCTCTGCAGCGCTGAGAAGGTTGTCCACTGGGACAGCTAGGCAGCTATTTCCCACGATTTCCCACAAATTATGTTTGCACTTATAGGTGATACTTCCTCTGACAGGGTGGTTTGCCTCATTCCTGCAAGGCCTTGTGAGCTCAGCTCCATCCTCTCCGGTGCCAATCTCTGAAGAATTGCATGCTACCTTCTTTGCTGTGAAAGAAAGGAGAAGAGACGTTGTTTTATCTCTTGAAACATCAGGACGCCATACAGTGTAGACAAGTGTAATGTATGGACAAGTATAAGGACATTTGGATCACATTGATACAAAATATAGTAAGCTGCAAATAAACACACACACACGGATAATAATAAGATTTGCATATATACGTAGCAATAGAGTATACCTTCCTCTGCACTTTTTATTTATTGTTTCTTTTTTTGTTCAGTTGAAATACAAAATTAATACCAAGAAAGGACACCAGCCATCTACAAATGCAAAGTGTCTCTCTTCCTTTTCCCATTTTTATTGACGTGAGACACTTCGAGAGACAAGACTTGTCTGAAGAGTGGGATAGAAATACAGTAAATAAATAAAATTAAATAAATAAAATTAACTGACAGAAAATGCCCAAATTAATATACTTTATTTGCATCATTAGTAAACATTTTGCACAATTTGCAAATATAACTGGCCTATGGCAACTCTAAAGATACAGACACTGGCCCCTTTCTGTCCTGTGTGTGCCACACGCTGTCAACCTGCTTAGTAGAGCTTCCACTTTGGATTTGCCAGGTGACGCTGTCAAAGTTGCTCACATCACTGCTGCAGTTTAGAGAGAAACGTTGTCCCTCAGAAACCTTGCCACTTGTTCTAGAAGATATGCTCACCTTTGCTGGTGAAACATAAACATTGGGGATTTGATTGTGAGTTCATTATTTTGTTTATTTAGGGAGATTGTCTCCCACTTTGCACATTGTCTCAACATGGCTTACGGTAAAATAGCAGAAACTTAAACATCAGAATAGCATACACACAAAGAAATCAAAGGAGAAAAGTCCTTCCCAAAGAGATGCTTACCTACTCGAAAATATGTGACACTGATAACTTTGTGTTTGCGGGCACCATTGGTAGTGTTCAGCTCACATGTGTAATCCGTTTTGGTTGCAGACTTGTCTGCTGGGCATTGAGATTCATTAGCCTGAAGGAGGTACTTGGTACAGTTGTGAGTGGCAGTGGTGGTCCCTGCAAGGAAGGGAAATGAGTTAGAAGCAGGTCAAAGCACTACCTGCAACTGAGGCTGAAAACTGGTCAACACCTTGACTCAAAGCAAAGCTGAAGAGTTGCTTCAGTGTCAGTGTCGCTGGGTGGTCAGAGTACAATGTCACCCCCATTTAGAAGCTGGCCAGTATGTTATCAGCTCCTACTCCCAGTAGAGACTTTGGGTCTAACATGTCCTACAAACTTATCCAAAGCGGCCTGTTTAATTCCAGAAGGATGTTTTCAGGGACATGCCAGACAATTGCTCCCGGCCATATCCAAAGCTGCTCTAGGCCAAAGATACCACACTTAGAATCACAGAACTGTAGAGCTGGAAGGGACCAACCCCCTGCTTTGCAGGAATCTTTTGCCCAACGTGGGCCTCAAACCCACAACCCAGAGATTAAGAGTCTCCTGCTCTACTGACTGAGCCACTGGAAGACAAGGAGAGGCAGCAGGAATTTGTGACTAGGAATGAATGAACACCCCCAGTTCCCATCAAAAGCTGTTCGCTTTGTGGTCATTTCTTGCATACACTAGCAAACAAACAAAAACCCTCAAAGTGTTTTGCAAGGACTCACGAGAAATGCTTACAAAACCAAAGTGTTATTATCATTAAAGGTAAAAAGGTAAAGGTACCCCTGCCCGTACGGGCCAGTCATGTCCGACTCTGGGGTTGTGCGCCCATCTCACTTAAGAGGCCGGAGGCCAGCGCTGTCCGAAGACACTTCCGGGTCACGTGGCCAGCGTGACAAGCTGCATCTGGCGAGCCAGCGCAGCACACGGAAACGCCGTTTACCTTCCCGCTAGTAAGTGGTCCCTATTTATCTACTTGCACCCGTGGGTGCTTTCGAACTGCTAGGTTGGCAGGCGCTGGGACCGAACGACGGGAGCGCACCCCGCCGCGGGGATTCGAACCACCAACCTGACGATCGGCAAGTCCTAGGCACTGAGGTTTTACCCACAGCGCCACCCGCGTCCCGTTATTATCATTATTATTTATTAAATTTGTAGCTGCCCTTCATCTGTAGATCTCAGGGCAGAGCACAACATAAAAATACAATATAGAAAACACAAAATACATAGTAAAAATAAGAACAAAAACAAATCAATAATCCCCCTCCCCCTTGCAGTTTTCTCTCCCCCCCCCCCTCCTCACAAGGAAGAAAAGGGCCTCTCCTTGTGAAGGAGGCAAAGGTATACCAGCAGGGAATGGCAGCAGCATCGCCTTGGCCCTCCTGGCTGACTCCAGAGGCTGCTGTGGCTCTGCCTGCAATCTGAGGCGGATTTAGGGGAACAGGACCAGTTCGCCTGCACTGGGAGCAACAATGACAAGCAATGGAAGGTGAGTGGCCAGGGTGGGGGTGCTGCTGGAATTTTAAAGCCCAAAGTCCACCACTGCTGTGATTCCCCACTCTGTGGAGCCGGCAATGACAGCGCAGGAGAAAGAGCCTGACTCTTGACAGGTCTCCTTGTGCTTTGCAAATGCTGTGAGAGAGATGCATGTGTGGAGTTGGGCAAAGAAAAAGTTTTATGCACACTTAGGAGCCAAGAGAGATTCTTGCACTTCATACCTGAAATATTTATTGCTCCATTTATTTTCCAGTAATAAGTGAAGAACTGCATATCTCTGTCTGTGCAGCAACTCAGTTCTTTAGTGTCACCATTGCATACAATCACAACATCCTCTGAGGGCACAATTTTGATTGGAGAGACTGTTATATTAGTCCCAGCAACATGTATGACTGACACATTATTAATCCATTCCATAAAGCTGCAACGGTAATAACCTGCAAAAAAGACAAAAATCTGGTATTTAGCTCCATAAAGCAATGTGCTCAAACATTTCCAGATCCAACTGTGAACCTTCCAGCTTGTCTCATCTCCATGATAAAATTAACTCAATTGAATCAAAGCATTAAATGAGTGGCAAAACCTTTACATTTACACCGCTGATCTGAATGTGCAAAGGAACTGCATAACAGTCAGCCGTTTTGTGTGTGGAGCAGCTCCCCCGAAAGGGCAGTTTTAGGCTGCATTAATGGTTTCCAAGCTTTGGTTCCTCTCTCTTCTGCTCTGGTCTGCTCTGGAGAACTGCCTTCCGTTCTGGGCGTTTTCCTTTAAGGAGGGGATAGACCAGCGGCTCTCAGCGAAAATGGCTGGTGGTCTTGGTAGACTACTTAAGGGTTTTTCTGCTTGTTGCACAATTGTAATGTGCTGTGCTAGATGCTACATTTTAAATCCAATTTTTATTACTTCTTCTATTTCTTACACAGTAAGACCGCAACATACTCACATTTACTTTGTGCCCATCCAGCTTCATGCGCTTGGCAAAATAAAATAAAATAAAATAAAATAAAATAAAATAAAATAAAATAAAATAATTAAAAGGGGACAGGCCTCGGGGGGGGGGGAGACTTTGGCCACATACCCCCATGGCACTCGATGTGCTTTGACTATGTGCAGTTTTGGCACAGGTGCAATGGGCACTAGCTGCCTCTGCCTGGAGGGTGGCAGACTCTCCCTTGCTGGAGATTTTCAAGCCAAGGCTGGGTAGCCATCTGTGGAAGATGTTCAAGCTCTGGATTTCCTGTATCTGCATGAGTTAACCAGCAAAAAGCCCACAGTTCCTTCTACAGAATGGAGATTATAGGTAACATAAATATTGCCAACTCACTAAAGAAACATTAACTGATCATGAGAGATAATCGGGTCGCATGACCCCTCCTGGTACACCTGAGACCCCGGGGGACACACCTGTTTTATGGTCAGACAACTAGAAGTGCAGGACTCTTGGGAAGCGCAAGAACACCTGCAGAATTGATTTAACAAGACACAGAAAAAGCTGTGGCGCCCTAGTCACGGCTGCATCCCTTCTCTGAATCTAGGTTTCCATTGCATGTCACTCTGTATGTTACAATCTTAGAATATGATGGTCATTGTTGTTGAATATGATGGTCACTGCAGGCCACCCAATTCACTCCCAGCCTTGTTTGATGCAGAATATTGCAGTGTTTGCTTGATGCGGTTTTATTCTTTGGAGTATTGTCTTACAGAGGGTAATAATCTGTATTTGTTCCCCATGTTCCCTAGTGACAGACTACTTCCCCTGTCCTCACTTTGGTAGGAGGTGACTGTAAAGCCTAGGTCTGACTCAGTATAGCAATTCTTACACTCTTGACTTAAATACTTTTCTATTTAGAATTACCGGCATCTTCCAATTTAATGTTTGTAATTTTCAGTGTTGATGTTGACTTTCCATCTATAGTGTCATTTTTAGGAAGCTCCCTGCCACGGCTAAAAGTTTCTGGGAAGTGCCAGGTTGCCCCCAAAGAAGAATTTGACTCGCATGTCATTGTTACAGTATCACCCTCAAAAATGTCGTCAGGAGAAATGGAGATGTTTGTTCCACCTGCAAGGCAAAAAGAGAAGTTCTCAAAACCAACGAAAAGAAAGCTTTATTTCTTGCTACATATACAGAGTGCCACTCACCTAATGCATCAACTATTCATTTCACAGTTTCACTTGCTGTTGTTCTGAACGCACCCAGGAAAGGTTTGGAAAATTAGTTTGCAGAGTCTAGACAAGGCCTTGACCAAGGGTGGTTGCGGCAAAAGTGAACAGGTCTTGCTTTCCTGTCATGGAGTTTTATAAGTGGGATTTTCCAAAGTGACCAATGGCCTTTAGCTGAGTGGGTTTAAACTCTCCATGTTTAGAATGAAGGCAGCACCAATGGGCAGGTGTGCTTCCCACCTTCCAGGGCAAATGAGGAATCTCTACTCCCAATTTTCACTGGCAGAGCATCAGCTGCGATTGCAACCCAAATACATATTCCTGATGTGATATATTGACAACCATGTATGATGCTGGCAACATTGCTCTTTGACAGGAAGCTGAGTTTATCCCTTCTTCCACCAGCACCTTGAGCCCTGCTTTTCCCACATCAGCAGTTAATACCCATTGACTAGGTAAAGGTAAGGGGACCCCGGACCATTAGGTCCAGTCGTGACTGACTCTGGGGTTGTGGCGCTCATTTCGCTTTATTGGCCGAGGGAGCCGGCGCACAACTTCCGGGTCATGTGGCCAGCATAACTAAGCCGCTTCTGGCGAACCAGAGCAGCGCACGGAAACGCTGTTTACCTTCCCGCCAGAGCAGTACCTATTTATCTACTTGCACTTTGAGGTGCTTTCGAACTGCTAGGTTGGCAGGAGCAGGGACTGAGCAACGGGAGCTCACCCCGTCATGGGGATTCGAAGCACCAACCTTCTGATCGGCAAGCCCTAGACTCAGTGGTTTAACCCACAGTGTCACCCGCGTCCCATTGACTAATGACTATTAAAAACCCGTCCACCAAAGACAGGTAGATTTGACTTGATTCTTACTGTTGTGTGGATGCAGGGAAGACCCCTTCCACAGCAAGAAGCCATGGTGCAGAGTACACAGAGCTTTGGATGGCACGATCCTTCTGGCCTAGCAAGGCTAAACTCTTCCCCTTGGAATGCAGATGTATTCATACACGTATATTGGGAAGGGGCATCAGTCTGCACACACAAGAGAACGACTAGTTCCTTGCATAAAACTATTTGGAGAGCTCTCTGAAACCAGAACATGAAGCTTCCACCAAAAAGTTCCGAAGACACCCTGCAGCACGCCCAGAGGCTACTGAGCACCCGGGGCACAGGCTGTGCACATGCAGTAACTTTAAAACACACTTTCCCCTCAGATGATTCTGGGCTCTGCAGCTTCCTCCTCAAGGTGCTACAGTTACCAGCAACTCTTTAGCAGACTGCAGGGATCAAAAGTCTTTGAGGGAGAGAATGTGCTTTGAATGTGCTTTAAAGGCAGAGTGTGAGGGGGCCTAGCTTCTCTCTCCATAATCAAATTGGGGTGGTCTGGAGGGTGTTTTATATGTGTATTCATTGTGGGAGAAAAATGGCATTTCTACCATTAAAATGATAATATACATCTCAATAAGCAGGCTTTTGACATTACCATGCACTTCCATTGAAGACACCTCAAATGATGTGGGCACAATCTTGTAGGAACGATCTAAGGCTTCAGCTGCATCTGTATTTGCACTTTCAGGCGGCATATTCACTGCTGATGTTAATTCATATTGAACCATGATGCTTCCAGGTCTATGCAAAAAGGATATCATACCTGATTATTTCAGATTCATTATTAGTATATGTATAGTATAGTATATTAGTATTAGTAAATTGTAAGATAAGAGAGAGATAAGTGACCTTACTGTGGGGGTCTGCTACAGACCGCCAAGCCAGACTGAAGACTTAGATTATGCCTTCCTAGAGCAGATTACCAAGTTTCGAAAAAGAAGAGACATAGTAGTCATGGGAGACTAAAACTACCCAAATATCTGTTGGAACTCAAACTCTGCCAAGAATGAAAGGACAAAAAATTCCTCCATTGCCTTGCTGACAATTTCATTTCTCAGAAGGTGGAAGAAGCAACAATGGGATCATTTATCTTGGACCTGATCCTCACCGATAGGGAGGAACTAATTGACCAAGTGGAAGAACTCGGAAACTTGGGAGGAAGTGATCCTGTCCTCTTGGGTTTCATGTTACATAGGCAAGAGAACAGTGAGTGTAGTTGGACACGCACTCTGAACTTTAAGAGGGCCAATTTCAAAAAGCTTAAGCATCACTGTATGAGAGATCCCAAGAAATGCAGGCTGAGACCCTCCCTGCCCGCAGACTGTCTCGCCAGAGTGGTGCATGCTCTGGTTATCTCCCGCTTGGACTACTGCAATGCGCTCTACTTGGGGCTACCTTTGAAGGTGACCCGGAAGCTGCAATTAATCCAGAATGCAGCAGCTAGACTGGTGACTGGGGGCGGCCACCGAGACCACATAACACCGGTCCTGTAAGAGCTACATTGGCTCCCAGTACATTTCTGGGCACAATTCAAAGTGTTGGTGCTGAGAAAATGTGATGAAAATGATGTATCGATGGTATGTAACACCGGTGAAATTAGCAAGGATGTATAAGTAACAAATGTTGGAAATGTAAAGAAAAGGAAGGTACATTCCATCATATGTGGTGGGAATGTAAGAAAGTTAAAAGCTTTTGGGAAATGATATATAATGAATTGAAGAAAATGTTGAAATATACATTTGTTAAAAAACCAGAAGCGTTTTTACTAGGCATTACAGGTAATGAGATAAATAAGAAAGAAAAGAAGTTATTTTCATATGCAGTGACAGCAGCAAGAATACTGATGGCCCAGAAATGGAAACAAGAGGAGTTACCTACGATAGAAGAATGGAGAATGAAAATGATGGACTATGCAGAACTTGATAGACTGACTGGAAGGATCCAAAATCGATGAGATCAGAGATTTACAGAAGATTGGAAGAAATTTATAGAGTATATGCAAAAATTAAGTGATAATCAGATAACGTTTGTAAGTTTTAATGAAGCTCTGTGAGGAAAATGTTAGAATACTACTAAAAATAGGGTTTAATATATAACAATAATATAAGCATAAGTTAGAAATGTGGAAGAAGTAAAATTATGAAGGAGTTTCAGACAAATTGAGGGAAGTCAAAAAAGAGAAATGGGATGTAATTAAGATGTATGGATTATATAATTTTGTATTGGAAAATGAATAAAAAATATTATTAAAAAAAACAAAGTGTTGGTGCTGACCTTTAAAGCCCTAAACGGCCTCAATCCTGTATATCAGAAGGAGCATCTCCACCCCCATCGTTCAGCCCGGACACTGAGATCCAGCGCCGAGGGCCTTCTGGCGGTTCCCTCATTGCAAGAAGTGAGGTTACAGGGAACCAGGCAGAGGGCCTTCTCGGTAGTGGCGCCTGCCCTGTGGAACGCCCTCCCAGCAGAGGTCAAGGCAATAAGCAACTATCTGACTTTTAGAAAACAACTAAAGGCAGCCCTGTTTAGGGAAGTTTTTAATGTTTGATGCTGTATTGTTTTTAATATTTGGTTGGAAGCTGCCCAGAGTGGCTGGGGGAACCCAGCCAGATGGGTGGGGTATAAATAATAAATTATTATTATTATTATTATTATTATTATTATTATTATTAGGTCAGAAATACTCAAAAAGAAGGGAGTCCAAGATCGATGGGAGTTTCTTAAAGGAGAAATATTGAAGGCCCAAATGCAGACAATTCCAACCAGAAAGAAAAGTGGGAGGCATCTGAGGAGCTTACAGATGAGCTGAGATGTAAGAAGGGCATGTACAAGAAATAGAAGAAAGGGGAAATCACAAAGGAGTAGCAAACAGTTGCAAGGAGCAGGTTAGCTGGGTCCAGCTAAGGATGAACTCAGGCTTGCAAGAGAGGTTAAAAACAATTTTTAAAAGGTTTCTTTGGCTATGCTTGAAGCAAGAGGAAGAACAAGCAAGTGGCAGGTCCTCTGAATGGAGAAGACAGAGAAATACTATTGAGTGACAGAGAGAAGGCAGAACTGATGCAATGCAGGGGGTTGAACTAGATGACCCTCAGGTCCCTTCCAACTCCATAATTCTATGATTCTATGTAATAAATAATGAAAAATTTCATGATGTTTTTAACATTTTAAAAAGATTTTTATAGATATTGGGAAGGAAAAGGAGAAACTAGTTTCAGCTACAGCTTCTTTGTCACCTTATCTACCTGGCCAATGGAGAGGAAAGCAAAATATTAAAAACATAAAAGGCTTTAAAACTGAAATAAAATTGTCCCTATCCTATTTTAAATGCTAGTGAATATTCATATTTTTGTATTGATACTGATGATGGGCAAGTTGCAGCCCCTGCCAAAAGCTATTTTAATTAGGCTCTGGCATCCCAACCTCATGCTAAGCAGGATGTGGAATAAAATTTGTAGGTGCTGAGGTTATTTTACACTCAAATAAATATTATGTTTTGCTTTGGCTTTGCACCTACATGCAAAGGTGTTCACACTGCGGCTAGAGACCAAGCAGGACTCCATTCGGTGTGAAACTGGTATGATGAACAGCACATCCAAGAGCAGAATTTCATAACAAAGTGCAGGATTCATTTGCATTTTGGATAACATTGTATTAACATGGATTTAAAAGTAATCACTGGAAATGCAGTGAGCATAACAATAAACAGAAGTGTAAAACCCCCGTTAATGTCAACTGCTTGAGAGGGGTGGAGGCAAAACGAAGGTGCCTCCTTCCCAAAAGGGGAAGGGGGTCAAGAAACATGTGGTGGGAGCAGGCATGTGTTTGTGTGTGCTGTGCCTACCTTTTAAAATTAACAAGGTGTCCAGATGGAATCCTTTAAGAAAGCCCTGTGGTCACTTGCAGGGTGTCGGGCTCTTTGCAGATGGGCAGCACTTGGAATGGCCACACAGCCACAGAATCATAGAATTGTCGAGTTCAAAGGGACCTTGAGGGCATCTAGTCCAAGTCCCCCCAACTGAGAAATCTCAGCTCAAGCTTCTGTGACAGATGGCCGTCCAGCCTCTGCTTTGAGACCTCCAGTGAGTCCACCACCTTCTGAGGAAGCCCATTCCAAATTGCACTTCTTTCTCGGAAGTGCTTTTCTAAAATGTTTAAATTCAATAATGTGACTAATGTACAAAGATCAAAGCATTTTTTTTATTTTCTCCTGTAATCCAAGTGAGTGCAAAGGGAAAGAAGGTGAATGTTTTCGATACCTGAATCCTGCAACTTTTACACTTCTGAAGCCTGGCAATGATTTGTATCCCTTGGTAAACTGGAAAAAAAACCAACAATATAAATTATGACATCTTTATGAGACAATTAAAACCTCATAGGAAATTGGACTGTTTTATTTCACCTAGCAGACTGTGAACATGCCTACTTCATGCGTGAAGTGAAATGAATCTATTACATTACTTTATTACTCTGTTACTGATTTTATTAATCTGTTTATGGATGGCCCACCTGCACCCAATTTGGAAATGATCCATTAAAGATTAAAAATACTTCCACTGAGCTTCTGCAATTAGAATCTCTTTCTTAAGTAAATCATTTCCAAATCGGCAAGGCCGCCAGGCCATATCAGGATCCCAATGTCACCATCAGGAGTATATTGGGGGCTCAATAGTTTTTGGACCCTTTCCGAACCATTTTGGAATGGATAACCTTCACCCGCCTCAACTCACTAAATGTGTCCCGTTTAAGGAATCAGTGCAGTTGGCACAGTGCTGCTGAAAAATGATAATAGCGCCCAGTCAATAACATGGCAGCTGCATTTTGCACTAATCAGTTTTTGAGAAGTTTTCCAAAGCAGCCCATGTAAGGATCCCTTATGATATTTTTTGAAGATATTAAATCTATATTCTGCAGATGATAGCTGTCAGAGGCTTAATGCTGTCCAGCTGGCATAGATAAGACTCCGGGCTCCCAGCCAGTTCCAAACTATTTGATTTATTTGACAGAGTTCAAACGTACATCTCCAGCGTTTCAATTAGCGTCCGTCCCGTTGTTGCGCAGTTGCCGCCTCTAATCTTTCTTCTTCCTTTTCCGTACCCAGCATGCAAGTCTGCGGAAACCTCTCCCCTGACTTCCTCTGTGTACAGAATGACTTGTTCCAGGCTCATCCTCCTCCCCCTCTACGTCAGACCCACTGTCAGACGACAGGCTGCTGATAATCTCTTTAGGCTCTCTATAACTGCTGGTTTCTGTCCTTTCATCTTTTCCCGTTTGCCTCTCCCTGACAATAGCTATTAGAATCATCTCAGCAGGTATGTTGCACTATAACATGTACCATGAAGTTTTAACCTATGAAAACCTCTGCCATACCTCAAGGATCACCTTGTAGGAGGTATTTTAATAGCTGGGAGAGGATATATAAATTGCAATTTACCTCTCCAGGTCTCACATGCATGGGCTGAAGAGAGTTTTAGAAGTCCCATCCTCGGCAGCAATATGGAGGCCTGTCAGAATTGGCAGTAAGTGGTGCCTTCCTTTAATTAAGTCCAGCTACAAATCAAGCTGGCTTCCCCCTTTATTTAATTGGACAACTGGAAAGTAAGCTCAAAATCTGATTTTTTTACTCAATAGTCTTGCATTGGTTTTCAGCTGCAGCATCAGTAAAAACTATGCAGGGGAAATACTTATATTTACAGCAAAAACAGTCTCAGGCTTGTGCCTGGAACTGGAGCAAGTGCAGGACACGTCTGTCCTCATGGCTGGCTGAGGAGAGAGGAGGGAGGGGGAGGGAAGAGGGGAAATGACATCACACAGAGCCCTCTCTGCCAACTACATTTTCTGTAGTATGAGTAGCTGCCTATCAGCAATATAGCTCTGTAGTATTAGCCCCTTCTTATGCTAACTATCAAGGGACTCGGGTGGTCTAAATCACGGAGCCTCTTGGCTTGCCGATCGGAAGGTCGGTGGTTCGAATCCTCGCAATGGGGTGAGCTCCCATTGCTCGGTCTCAGCTCCTGCCAACATAGCAGTTCAAAAGCACATCAAAGCGCAAGTAGATAAATAGGTACCTCTCCAGCAGGAAGGTAAATGGTGTTTCTGTGCACTGCTCTGGTTTGCCAGAAGCAGTTTACTCATGCTGGCCACATGACCCAGAAGCTGTCTGCGGACAAACACTGGCTCCCTCGGTCAGTAAAGCAAGAAGAGTGCCACAACCCCAGAGTCGTTCGCGACTGAACTTAACTGTCAGGGGTCCTTTACCTTTACCATATGCTAACTAGCAAGAATATGTGTTTGTTAGGTTTGGCTGCTAATCTCGCACATGCATCTCCTCATATGAACCAACCCAGACCCTGCAGTCATTGGCTGTGGCTCCTCTGTGAGATGCCCAGAGGGTGGCAAGACAAGAACAGGCCTTTTCTGTGGTGGCTCCCTGCTTGTGGAATACTCTCCCCAGGGAGGCTCGCCAGGCACCATCATTACATATTTCTAGGCACCAGGCAAAAGCATCCCTCCTCTCCCAGGCCTTTGACTAATTAAACAATCTATGGCCATTTTAACGGTGGTGGGGGAGGGGCATCGTTTTGTTTGCAACAATGTATTTTTGGGTTTTTATATTGTAAACTGCCCTGTGATCTTGTAATAATAACAGAAATGCAATATATCTCTGCCACATGCAGAACCAGCTCAAACATACCGCTTTCTCCAAATCACTTTTGTATCGCTTAAACATGCTAGAGGACAGATTTCTCAGATCATCTTCAAAGTCTTTGTCAAGCCGGACAGACATTTTTATAATGTATATAAATGGAACACCTAGTGCAGAAAAGAACCGGAAAAGTAGTATTACTAGTCGTAGCAACTACTACTGCTGATTACTACACAGCAATAAATTTTGTTTTAAAAAAATCACCGTAAAATTCTTTCAATCTGTCCTCAAATCTTAAATATCTGTTCCTGTCTTGTTGTTTTGCACACAGCAAAGAAGAGAGACCTTAGACTAAACCGCAGCACTGGAAGCACATGGAACTGCATGTAGAGGAAGAGCAGCTTGGCTGCAGGAATAAGATTGTAAATAAAATCGGGGAGAAGACCTCAGAGAGTGTAGCAATAAGAATAAAGGAGGGCAGGGAAAAGGAAAGGCAAGTCCTGCGGAAGACCTCTCTCAGGAAGGAGTTCCCTAATCCATGGTGCAGGCAAGAGAGACCAGAGTCGTTGCTGGGCCATCTTTAAGAAGCAAGTTCCACTGAATTCAGGGCTTACTCCTGGTCAGCGAGTATAGGATTGCAGTCAGTCTTAGAGATAATTCACATGGTAAATGTGTGACAAGTGAGGGGCTCAAATGTTACAAAAAGCACTGGGAAGCAAAGTTCGAATTCTAAAGCTGAAATGAAATTTCATGAAATGGCCCTTCCCTGAATTCCTTGGGGAAAGGGATAAAAGTGTTTTCAATGAAATGTCAAAATCCAGCAAATTTTCAAATTCTGCTGACGTCAAAATCAGATGTCATAATGTGAAATACTCCTTTTCCGCCCTAGCTGCCACAGTATGGTTGCCCTCATTTACTGCCCATTACCCCCCCTCCTACCTGCAGATTGCGGTTGACAGTAGGTCCCCCGAGGAGGGCGCTGGACAAGGCAGGGGCAGCTCTCTCCTGCCGGCGCAGCACTGGGACAAGCTGGAGCAGCTCTGCATGCGCTGGCCGGCCATTCATAGCCCGACTCACAAGAACAGTGGGTGCCCTGGGGGCCACCTGAGGTGCACACTAAGGTAAAAAAGCATGAAACAGGAAGGGTGCAGGTGAGACAGGGCATTTTGCTGAGCAACGTCTACTTCCTAATTATAATTCTCTCTGTGCATGACATTCACACTGCACAAATAGTTCTTTGAAAGTTGTCAGCATTATTTGACCAGACAGTTGGACAGTTTCTCTAATATTGACTAAAACTGTAGTAGCAGAGCTCGCCATCTCTTTTTACAATGTAGAAAACCCTACAGTACAGCTGTAAATTACTCTGGAAATATCACAAAATGCCAGCTACATTTAGTCTAATTCAGATATTTTTTAAATCTATCCTCTTCTCATTGGACTTTTCCCCCTTTTCTTAAAAACAAAACAAAAACCTAAAACCAGAGAAAGCCAATTAAAAAAGTGGAAACTAGTGACATATAACCCACCTGTGGTGACATCAATGCTTGAAATGTTCACAGCTGAATCAGAAGCATTTACTGAGACTGGGAAGCTAAGGCTGTTTAAATAACTTCTGAGGGCCTCCAGGAGGGAGGAATCTGGAAGACTTATCTCAACAGCAACCGTGTATTCTACAGGTGAGATGCCTAATGTCACATCTGGAAAACAATTTGATAAGTTAGACATGTTATAATTACCAATCAGAAACTCCCTGTTTCAGTCTCACAAATCGTTTATATCTCTCTATACGTAAGATAGCCTCAGGCTCAGGAACAAGGAGGCCTCGCCTGAGAATACATTTGTGGACCAGGGGGCTGCTGGCTTTCTCCTTGTCCCAACAAATTTCCAAGGTTTTGAGCCTGAATGTGTTCATTTCCATTCTCATTCTCCTCTCTCTCTCATGTGGGTGAGCCAAGATCCTTCAGCCCTTGGATGAAAATTTTTAAAATGATGATTCAAATGAGAGAGGCATAAAAATCCCATAAAAGCCCCATAAAAATAATGATTGCAGAGGCACAGGATAGCAATTTAGAGAGGCCAAAATACCTCTGGCCGAAACACAAGTGCCAAAGACACTGGATGCTAATGCTAGAAGACGCTGAGCCCAGATGGGTGAACTGGAGTGCTTGGTCTTAGAAGATGACATCAACATAGTGGACACAATGGAAAATGGAGACAACCAATAGGACACCGTTATCTCTGGATATAAGCGCTATAGGAAGGACAGAGAAGGACATATCTCTTTCTGTATGTCAAAGACAGTGAGTCCAGCAAACCAGGAATCCCCCAAAGGCAGACTCTGTCACAGAATCAGTTTGGGTGATAATAATTTAGTAACGAGGACATGCTATCATTCTCTCGATGAAAATGCTAAAGGAGATATTGAGATGATAAATGAAATCAAGGAAATGTCCAAAGGAGGAAATGTTGTGGTATTGGGTGGTGTTAACTGGTATCCTCACAGAGACTGGCTACAGAGGTGTTCCTGTTGGAGAATTTGTAAAGGCTTCACCCCTCAGCTACTTGCTGGTTGAGGTTGTCTCACATTGATTTGCAATGCCCATATAAATGTCCTTTTGACTGACAGTTGGAGTCTGGATCCTTTTAGCTGTCCAGCCTGAACTACAGTACAGTGGTACCTCGGGTTAAGAACTTAATACGTTCTGGAGGTCTGTTCTTAACCTGAAACTGTTCTTAACCTGAAGCACCACTTTAGCTAATGGGGCCTCCTACTGCCGCCACGCGATTTCTGTTCTCATCCTGAAGCAAAGTTCTTAACCTGAGGTAATATTTCTGGGTTTGCAGAGTCTGTGACCTGAAGTGTATGTAACCCGAGGTACCACTGTTGTGGGTTGGGTATTAAACCCCACTTTCCCCCCAACAATCCAGTCATGACAAAGCGATGACAGTTCTAGATCTGGAAAGCGGCCAATGGAACACCTTTTTTTTTTTTTTAGGGGATCCAGAAGGGATCCTGGAAATTACAAGTCAGTCAGCTCAGTGTCTGTTTGGGGGAAACTGGTGGAAAGTATTGTTAAAGTTAAAATAACCACGCATAAACCTGTTCATCTTTGATGCTTCCATTCTTCCGCTGAATTGTACTATGCTCTTAGCAAACAGTTCATCTGAATACTTTCATGATGAAAAGGATTTCTTGTGTTCAGGCCAGAGTACCCTGACTGCATATCTAAGAACAAAGATTCTGCCTTCAGGCAAAACACACTGTTGAGAAGTATTAACGTACCCTGCCGTTTCTGCCTGTGCAACTCTCTCTGTTCCTCTCCTCCGTTACTTTTGCTGTAAATCTGAAAGAGATGCACCCACAACATCACAACATTAGGAAAATTGGTTAAGGGCAATACAGTGGGGGGAAGGGGTTCCAAGAAGAGCTAAACCCACTCATCCCTAGTGAACCGATAGTCTTGAAAGTCAGAGTGTGCTCAGAAAGAAGCAAGATCTGAAGAAATGTGGGCCTCTGCCTTTTCAGAGCTCTCTGGAGTAGGAGTCAGAAAGCCACAGGGGTGAATTGGGTTGGCCACCTCAAGTCCTGATACGGTTTCTGCAGGGGCTCTTCCGCTCCTTCCCCCTGTGGTATGGCTGGCTTCAGCAGTGTAGCCACAGGAGGAAAGCTCTGGCCAACCCTGCCATGCTTTCCAGAGTGTCTCTGCATTGAAAGAACAGCCATGTGCTCATACATAACTGTGAAGCTACACACAGTAAACATTACTCACAGGTGAATGGATGAACGAGCCAAAATTAAAATTTTGGGAAGCTGTGCTCACAACTATGAGGGTACAGAACATTGTTATCTTCCAAGGCAGCAATTTTTCCATGTTTTGTTGCTGTAGAACCTACAAGGAAATCAAAATATGATATTCTATTATTATTTTTGAATAAAATTAACATAGTTTCCCTTCTAAAGAGTCAGTCCTATAAAGAATAGGCTGTAGAGAAAGTTAGCATGTTTGTTTTTTAAGAATCCTATATACACACTGTTCCTTCATTATGCCGCTGCTGCTGTTCTGTGGCAAATTCCTTTTCTTATTTTACAATCTCCCTGTTTGTAATCCTTCTTCCCTTTAAAGCCTTCCAACATGGGGGACAGGATCCCATAGCATTAACTCAAGGCACCCCAGAGCCCCCTTCTGGATCCCATCAGCCCAGGGAGAAACAGCACCCCTGCAACTCACTGCCACCAGCCTCCGAGAGCCAGTCGGGCAGAAGACCATGGTCAATGGTATCGCAAGCCACCAAGAGGTCCAGAAGAACTCCGAGGGACACTGACTCTTGTCTGGTGTAAGGCATCCATCGGAGCAACTAGAGCTATTTTGATGCCAAAACCAGGCCAGAAACCAGACTGAAGTGGCTCTAGAAAACTAATGTGATGCAAGCGGAGGGGGGAAAGAAAGCCAGTCAGTGGAGGAGACCAGTAGTGCCCTGTGATGATGAGGGAGCCCCATATCTCTCTCTGCAAAGCAGCCTGACAGTGGTGGACCTTGGGCTCTCACATTTTAGCAGCGCCCTGGACAACACCAAAATGCAGCGCCCCCCCCCCACCTCCCATTCTAGTTTGGCACCTGTGAGGCTCTGCACCCCGTGAGACCAAACAGTTCACGCTCCTCTACATCCACCTCTGAGTCTAACTGACACGTCGCCTGGAGCTGCAGCTTAACTGTAATTGTTGCAATACGGAAACTAATTGGTGCTTGTGGGACACTTGTGGCTCCTCCCCGGGGCTCTTCCAGACGTCCTTTTGTGCCATGTTTCTAGGCATAGGTCCACGCTTTAAAGCTCTGCATCTCTGCTTTCCCTGCGAAATCCCACTTTTTACCACTGAAAACAATTCCACAGAAACCCTGAATTGCTGTTTGTCCCAATTCAGCATTAAAGAGTGGGTTTTCCTGGGGAAAACAGGGTGGGGCAGGAAGCAGGGGCATACCTAGCTGCTCTGGCAACCGGTGGGGGGGTGGGACGGGGCAATCTGTGCATGAGGGCAGCGCTGGGCCCCAAGCCACTGCGGCACTCCCTGGAGAGACGTATGGCTCAGGAACACTGCAGGCCAAGCCCCTCAGTAAGTGCCCCCCCCCAAGGATGACACCCGGGGCGGACCGCACCCCCCTTCCTACGCCCCTGGCGAGAAGCGCTCAGACACAGGCTGGGAAAGTGTGGAGCTGTGCCTAGGAAGCAGGGGGCAAAAGGTCGTTGGGGATAAGTAAGAGTCTGGGCTCAAGTGATGCTCAAAGCACAGGAGGCAGATCTGATTTGGGGGGAAAGACTATGACCGGAAACCCCTCTCCTCCACTAGTTTCATTTGCTGAATTAAGTTCAGCATAATCCTCACAAAGAAATCTAGAAGCCCTTTTGCTCTCTCTTGCTGCAATATTGAAGGGCACCTAAGCTCTCTGGAGGAATGGCAGAGCTTGCTGCTGCTGCTGCTGCTGCTGCTGCTGCTGCTACCTCCTGCCACAGTTTATATTATCACACTCTTTTTTTCTTAATTCTTTTTATTAATTTTCACAAACAAAAGAGAATAAAGAAAAACATGATACAAATTATAAAAATAAAAAAACAAAAAGAGAAATAAAGCAATCTTTTAAAATCAATATTTTGTACCGTCTTCTTTACAAAGTGCATACTCACGCCTTGACTTCCCTCCTTCCCCACATCAGCTTTCTTAATACATATCTTCTCCTACAGATTCTTATTCTTATTCCCTTTTTGTGCACATCACGTGATTTATGTCAGACCCGCTACAGTTTTTAAACTTCTGCAATTTATCTTTATATAAGCAACAAATTTCCCCCATTCTTCCTCAAACTTTGACCCTTTTTGATCTCGGATTTTATAGGTCATTTTGGCCAATTCTATATACTCAAAAAGTTTAACTTGCCAGTCCGATACTGTTGGAATTTCCTGTGATTTTCATTTTTGAGCAACAAGAATCCTGGCTTCTTGATTTCTGGCATGTGGTGAACACACTCGATAGAACATTTATGCTACTCAAGTTGCTCATTGTGTTGTTATGTTGGTCACAAGAAATGGTGCATGTAAAAAAGTTTCAGGTAACATCTTATCATATTTGCTTAAGGTTATGACTCTCAGATAAAAGTAAATCATGTAGATTTTTCTTTTCATTTGTTGGCAGAGGAGGTGCATGTTTTTGTGACCAATGTAACAGGCATGCCCAACATAAATTTTGTTATCTGAAGGTCTTCTTATTCTGCTCCTAGGATAAAATGTATTTTCAGTTCATCAAATGAGAAATATTATCAAAACGATAAAGTGTCATTAACCTATTATCTGTTTTCCTGGAGAGGTCTTTAACTGAACTTTAGGAAACAATTAGAGAAGTTCTGAGTTATCTTGTGTGTCATACTTCTGATTGTTTTACTCATGTGTAAATTGCCATTTTGAAAATCTGTTGCCATATATATATTTTCTTTAAAATGATGCACAACACTTTAACTATATATGAAAATGAAAAATGGGTCTGTAGATTGATGTTTTCATGGAATTAATGTTGGCCTTTCCTCTTTCCCCCCAAAACATACCATTCAAAGCAGTGTCTCTTCTCCAAAAAATCTACTAGCTGTGTCTTCAAAGTTGGTTTTGGATTCATTCACAGAGAAAAACAAGACTATTGCTCCCCCTTAATCCAGCTCTTCTTATAAAGCAAACAATCTCAGAGCAAGTCTAGGGTTGGCTGCCCAGACAAGTCCCAATAAGTTCAGTGAGACTTATCTCTAGGTAAGTTCGTTTGTCGTAGATTTCAGACTCCGTGACCTGGGGTTGACAAATGGTTCCCAATGAGCAAATACTCTATTCAGACACTACTCAGACTTTTCATCTTTCCTCCTGGAGAGAGCCTAGTAAAGTGATGCTACAGCTTTCTCTTGGGTTCCCCTCAATCTGATGTCTTTCCTCCTTCTCAAGGCACATAAGATACATTCCTGCTTTTTTACCTGATCAGCTTTCTCTGGACTCAGCCCTCCTATGCAGATCTGGGATCTGTGGACATCTCCTTCCCTGCGCAGTCCGGGGCTCTTGCTTACTGAAAGGAAGTCATGCCCAAGGCAGCAAGTTAAAGAAAGTGAGCTGCGCGTTGCTGCGCAGGCAGGATCTGGGCAAGGGAGGAAGTTGAATTTCACTGTCTGTTCAGTGGGATTGTCGAAGTTATTTCCTGATGCCATTCACCTGATCTAAGCTTTTCAGTTTATTTTATCTGAGCAAGCAGGCGAACATGTTCCACAGGCATTTTACTTCTGAGAGACGCATTTGTCATGTTTGTTTGTTTGGGGTTTTTGGTACCAAAGAAATGGATGAGAAAACGCCAACAGAAAAGCTTCAGCCTTGCCTTGTCTCCAAGCATAGCTAAGGAGGACTTCTATTGCCAGATTTGCTTCTAAGCATGATGCCAAATATTTAAATTAAGAACTAATATATTGTTGGCATAGTTTAATTCTCTCACAGCAATGGGGAAGGCACAATAATATATAGCAGCATTTCTTTTTTAAAGTTGCTGTTAAAGCCCTGTCATTTAGTGCAAGCAGGAAGCAGGAATGAACACAAGAGTCCCACTAGCACTTGCTGTATGAAAAGTCCCTTATCCAAACACAAGGAAGTAGCGCCCAAACCTCACCTTGCACACCACAGATTCAGATATCCAGAAAGTCAGGTGTGTGTGTAGTACTGTAAAAAACACAAAAACAAAAAACAAGCAGCCTTAAACAAGCCTTACTCTTTATGTTTTAATCATCCGTGACAGCTGTTTTACCAGAAACTGGGGGTGGGGGAAGAGATTAGACAAATTTTTTTTTCCTTCCTTGTTTGCCTTCTGCAGGGTTTCAGGGGGTTTTCCTGGAGTTTTCTGGGCAGGGTTTCTGTCCTTTGGCGTCAAAATTTGGGGTCAGGAATGCATTAGAAATTTCCCCATAGGAATGAATGGAAATCATTGACTTGTTGTGTGAATGCTTGCCTAACAAACCATTTCCTGAGAACGCATTGTGTTCATCTAGCAGAACCTGTGTGTACTGTAACCCTTTCCAGAAAGCTGCCCCTAGAAGCCTTCCTTACCTGGGTCATTGGGCAGTCGCTGCACCTTTCCCACCTCCAGGCCCTTTTCCAAGGCCAAGAATTAAAATAATGGGGAACCCAACCCAGACAACCCCCTCCATGTACTTAGCAGTTGCTGCAGCTGTTTAGTCAGGGATAAAGTGTCAAGCCTCCTCTTCTCCCCGACACGCCAGTGTTCAGCGTCCAGGGCATTTTTTGTAGCCAGAAGCGTTTGATCCGGTGAGCCCTGCAAGACGGGGCACTGGTCTCCTGCCACTACCATTTCCTGCAAGCCAAGGAATCCTGTATCTCAGGTATCTCCCACCAAGTCTTCAAAGCCCCAAGGTGCCTTAGGATGCTTACCTGGGAAATATGACCTACCAGGCAATAAAAACAAAATAAAAATGACTGTGTCTTTCATTGGTTAGAAAGAACCGTTGGCCACTCCCTCTGGGGAGAGGGGAGAGCTCTGGCCTCTCCCCATGGGTGGTGGGGCTGACTTCTGGGCACCACTCCGTGAAGCTGACGGCCCTCACTGCCAACTCGTATGGAGATGGTTGTGTCATCAGTAAGTAGCAGAGATGGAATCATGGGGCTCCCTTTGCTTTCAGTATTCTCTCCGCCTTTCTTTCATTCTTAAAAAAAGTTTCACAACTGGACTAGTGGAAATTGTGTGATCATTGTTCTCTCTTTCATTAAAATGGTTCTTGGGGCAGATTTAAACAAAATTAAAACATGAGAACAAAAAAAACCCAGACATATTTTGTTGTCAATGATACATACTTTGTTTCCCCAACAGGAATGCATATGGAAACTAGATTCAATGGAATTACATATTCTTGGGAATTTTACAGGAAAGATCTGATTAGATCTGGGATACATTTGTTGGCTCCAGTTCAGATTTTCCTGCAAACATTTTTTCCATATTCATTCCTTTGTGAGTAAATGCTATGCTGAAACTGAGATAAAAGGATGATAAATATTATTGATTATATTGTAGGTCAGGATTGTATTTCCTATGAACAAACTATGAGGCTGCAATCCTGCACACACTTAGCTGGGGAAAGTTTCACTGAAATCGTTTGAGGTTACTTCTGCTTACACAGGCCTAGGGTTGCTCTCCCCTTCATGGATCACTGCCTTGCCGTGGCGAAGGGGCTTGAAGAACTCAGAGAAGCTATGAACTATGCCGAGCAGGGCACCCAAGATGGACAGGTCATAGTGGAGAGTTTTAACCAAACGTGATCCACCTGGAGCAGGAACCGGCAAGCCACTCCAGTATCCCTGCCAAGAAAACTCCATGGACAAAGACAACAGGCATATAAAAGTTATGATGCTGGAAGATGAGCCCCTCAGATCGGAAGGCGTCCAACATGCTACTGAGGAAGAGCAGAGGACAAGTACAAGTAGATTCGGAGCTGATGAAGCGGCTGGGCCAAAGCCGTAAAGACGCTCAGTTGCGGATATGCCTGGAAGCAGAAGGAAAGTCCAATGCTGTAAAGAAAAATATTGCATAGGAACCTGGAATGTAAGAACCATGAACCTGGGTAAGTTGGATGTGGTCAAAAATGAGATGGCAAGAATAAATATTGACATCCTGGGCATCAGTGAGCTAAAATGGACGGGAATGGGCGAATTCAGTTCGGATGACTATCATATCTACTACTGTGGGCAAGAAACCCGTAAAAGAAATGGAGTGGCCCTCATAGTCAACAAAAGAGTGGCGAAAGCTGTACTGGGATGCAGTCTCAAAAATGATAGAATGATCTCGATACGAATCCAAGGCAGACCTTTTAACATCACAGTAATCCAAGTTTATGCACCAACTACTGGTGCTGAAGAAACTGAAATTGACCAATTCTATGAAGACTTACAAGACCTTATAGAAGTGACACCAAAGAAGGATGTTCTTCTCATTATAGGGGATTGGAATGCTAAAGTAGGGAATCAAGAGATAAAAGGAACAACTGGCAAGTTTGGCCTTGGAGATCAAAACGAAGCAGGGCAAAGGCTAATAGAGTTCTGTCAAGAGAACAGGCTGGTCATCACAAACACGCTTTTCCAACAACACAAGAGACGACTCTACACATGGACATCACCAGATGGGCAACATCGAAATCAGATTGATTATATTCTCTGCAGCCAAAGATGGAGAAGCTCTATACAGTCAGCAAAAACAAGACCTGGAGCTGACTGTGGCTCAGATCATCAGCTTCTTATAGCAAAATTCAAGCTTAAACTGAAGAAAGTAGGAAAACCACTGGACAGGTAAGATACAATCTAAACCAAATCCCTTATGAATACACAGTGGAAGTGAGGAACAGGTTTAAGGATTTAGATTTGCTGGACAGAGTGCCTGAAGAACTATGGGTGGAGGCTCGCAACATTATACAGGAGGCAGCAACTAAAACCATCCCAATGAAAAAGAAATGCAAGAAAGCAAAGTGGCTGTCCAACGAGGCCTTACAAATAGCGGGGGAGAGAAGGCAAGCAAAATGCGAGGGAGATAGTGAAAGATACAGGAAATTGAATGCAGATTTCCAAAGAATAGCAAGAAGAGACAAGAAGGCCTTCTTAAACAAGCAATGCAAAGAAATAGAGGAAAACAACAGAATGGGAAGAACCAGAGATCTGTTCAAGAAAATCGGAAATATGAAAGGAACATTTCATACAAAGATTACCATCATAAAGGACAAAAGTGGTAAAGACCTAACTGAAGCAGAAGACATCAAGAAGAGGTGGCAAGAATACACAGAAGAATTATACCAGAAAGATATGGATGTCTCGTACACCCCAGGTAGTGTGGTTGCTGACCTTGAGCCAGACATCCTGGAGAGTGAAGTCAAATGGGCCTTAGAAAGCACTGCAAATAACAAGGCCAGTGGAAGTGATGGTATTCCAGCTGAACTGTTTAAAATTTTAAAAGATGATGCTGTTAAGGTGCTACACTCAATATGCCAGCAAGTTTGGAAAACTCAGCAGTGGCCAGAGGATTGGAGAAGATCAGTCTACATCCCAATCCCAAAGAAAGGCAGTGCCAAAGAATGCTCCAACTACCGCACAATTTCACTCATTTCACATGCTAGCAAGGTTATGCTTAAAATTCTACAAGGAAGGCTCAAGCAGTATGTGGACCGAGAACTCCCAGAAGTGCAAGCTGGATTTAGAAGAGGCAGAGGAACCAGAGACCAAATTGCAAACATGCGCTGGATTATGGAGAAAGCTAGAGAGTTCCAGAAAGACATCTACTTCTGCTTCATTGACTATGCAAAAGCCTTTGACTGTGTCGACCACAGCAAACTATGGCAAGTTCTTAAAGAAATGGGAGTGCCTGATCACCTCATCTGTCTCCTGAGAAATCTCTATGTGGGACAAGAAGCTACAGTTAGAACTGGATATGGAACAACTGATTGGTTCAAAATTGGGAAAGGAGTACGGCAAGGCTGTATATTGTCTCCTGCTTATTTAACTTATATGCAGAATTCATCATGCGAAAGGCTGGGCTGGATGAATCCCAAGCCGGAATTAAGATTGCCGGAAGAAATATCAACAACCTCAGATATGCAGATGACACAACCTTGATGGCAGAAAGTGAAGAGGAATTAAAGAACCTTTTAATGAGGGTGAAAGAGGAGAGCGCAAAATATGGTCTGAAGCTCAACATCAAAAAACAAAGATCATGGCCACTGGGCCCATCACCTCCTGGCAAATAGAAGGGGAAGAAATGGAGGCAGTGAGAGATTTTACTTTCTTGGGCTCCATGATCACTGCAGATGGTGACAGCAGTCACGAAATTAAAAGACGCCTGCTCCTTGGGAGAAAGGCGATGGCAAACCTAGACAACATCTTAAAAGCAGACACATCACCTTGCCAACAAAGGTCCGTATAGTAAAAGCCATGGTTTTCCCAGTAGTGATGTATGGAAGTGAGAGCTGGACCATAAAGAAGGCTGATCGCCGAAGAATTGATGCTTTTGAATTATGGTGCTGGAGGAGACTCTTGAGAGTCCCATGGACTGCAAGAAGATCAAACCTCTCCATCCTGAAGGAAATCAGCCCTGAGTGCTCACTGGAAGGACAGATCCTGAAGCTGAGGCTCCAATACTTTGGCCACCTCATGAGAAGAGAAGACTCCCTGGAAAAGACCCTGATGTTGGGAAAGATGGAGGGCACAAGGAGAAGGGGACGACAGAGGACGAGATGGTTGGATGGTGTTCTCGAAGCTACCAGCATGAGTTTGATCAAACTGCGGGAGGCAGTGGAGGACAGAAGTGCCTGGCGTGCTCTGGTCCATGGGGTCACGAAGAGTCGGACACGACTAAACGACTAAACAACAACAACAAGGGTTGCTCTGTCAATGGCACTATTAATTGGTTGAGTAATAATAGCCCATAGTTTCACTCCAGTATCAAAATATCAACAGATTAGTTTCCTATGATTAAAATAATTCCCATGTACTATTAAAGCACAATATATTTCTCATAAAAGTAAGGCATTTTAATTGAGCAATAAGGACAATCACAGATACATAAAAATGGTTCAAATTAATTCTAGTTCAGAATAAGGATGGAGCAATATTTAAAAATTATACAACAACCAGAGGAAGAAATGAAAACAAATCCAAATATGATGCCCAAAATTTCAGTTCAGTTATTTTTAAAAAAATCATTATTTTAGGTGTTACCAGAGGCCAGGAACCTCCAGTCCATGGGGAACCTCCCCATCTGGCCCCAGAGGTCATTCTGGGCAGGCCACACCCAGCCAGCCCACACTTGATGTCATGCACAATGTCAGGTGTGGGCAGGAAAGGGCAGGGCTTGGCGTAAAGGGGCTTTGTAGGCCCTGCGGATTGGGAGGCCTGCAAAGGTCTCTTGCACAGCTTTCAACGCGCCTGATAACTTTCTGTCGCATTGTGCAAAGCAGGAACTCTGTGCATCAGCTGCTGCGCAGTGGGGTGAGAGAGAGAGCGCTCCCTGCACAGAACTCTCTTGCAGACACAATCCCATTTTTGCCTGGCGCCTAAGCATATATAAGGAAGGCACCAGGCGAACCTCCCTGGGGAGAACACTCCACAAGCAGGGAGCCACTGCAGAAAGGCCCCGTTCTCGTGTTGCCACCCTCCAGACCTCACGTGGAGGAGGGAAACAAGGAAGGGGAGAGGCAGTTTTTGAGGTCTTGTGGTCCTGAGGCACTTGCAAGGCAAGGGAAGGGGCTGTTTCCTGGCTCCTCACTTTTCTGTGGCGCTTGGTCATCAGGCAGCTGCGAGTCCAATGCAGGACCCCCCCCCCCAAGCAGGGGGCTCTGTGGGGCAGACAGAGGGCAGGCCCCCCTTAGGCAGGAAGAAAGGGGGCAGAGAGGAGTGGAAGGAGTCTTGATCTAAAAATAAATGCTTTGTGCATCCACATCTAATCTTGCCCCTTTCTAAAAGTTGCTTATTGGTGTGTGTTTTTCTTTTTGTCAATCTACCAAAGAATAAAGTAAAATAAAATTGGGATTATGGGTTTTTCTCAGGATGGTGGAGGGCCTGTGTCCCGTTGACGTCGGGATGGGGGCACTCACCCTTCTTCTGATAGGAAATGCTCTGTGGGAAGGGGCACAAAAACAGGGGGTTGAAGAGGATCAGTTGGGAGGGGGAGTGAGAAATGTCCCTATTTTCATCTGAGGAATGTTGGAGGGTATGATACAGCTTATTATGACTTGTAAGAAACAAAACCCTACACAAAGCAAGAATCAAGGGGAGAAGCTGTGAGAATGAGAGCAAATCTGCGCTGACCTTTACAGATAAAGCAGCTTAATATAAACAGCAACAGCAAAAATTATTAAGGATTGAAGTGTCAACTTTTGCGGTAATAAGGATTTAGAGGTTAAAAAGCAGGCATTGACGTATTTCCTGCTTCAGTGTGCTGGGACAGGAGAGCAGTCATCAGTGGGAGACTCCAGTTCCAGACACGGCAGAAACAGCAGCTCAGTTGTTCTGCCCTTTGCATGGGGCATAGCAGTGACTTCTCTGCACATGGACTGAGTTCGCTTGGGGCTTTGACACACACACAGGGTTAGGAATGCAATTTCAGATTTAGAGGGAATGCCCAGTGCCTGATGCACACACACACACCCCTGCAAACTTTTCTGACTGCCCAAAACTCCATGGTTTGGGGCAGCAGCCGGAGCAAAAAGAAAAAAGAAAGACCCAGTGCTTGGAGGGGGGAGGTTTAGATGCAGATGCAAAGAAGTCCCTCCCTGCTCATCAGATCTGGCTTTGGATGAGTGGAGAGGAGGCCGGCTGGATCTAGACACAGCAAAGAAGCATTTAAGTTAATCGCATTGCAAACTTTGTACAGTATGAGAAATTGGGTTGGCAAAAACGGAACTCCACAGCGCCATCTGGTGTCATAGTGTTAGAATGCATGAACAATGCCTATAAAGCACTTTTTCTTTGCCAGTGTAGCTGATTCCGCTATAAACTCTTCCCTTCATACTTGCACAAATCATTTATGGGGAGGGGGACGTTTGCTTGTGCAAGGCTCTTCCAATCAAAGGCACACCCACCCATGTCATACCAGAAGGTTAGTTACCCCTGCTGTGTACACTAACCAGGGAGTAAGTCTTGCTGAGTTAAATGGAGCTTGCTTCTGAGTAGTATGGACAGGATGGTACTGTTAAGTTTCAAAAACAGTGCATTTTGAGGTGCCATTGCCATTTGTTATTTATAATGTATGTACCCCCCCTCTTAATGGCCAGCATAGCCAATGGTCAGGGATACTGGGGGTTGGGGACTGTTGGTGTCTGAGAGGCCACAGGTTCCCCACTCATGCACAAGAGTGGACTACAGGGGAAAGTTTTAACACAAGTTCAGGTTAAAAATAAAAAAGGGAAACTTTCATGCATTTGCTAAACAAATACCAGGAGCATTTTTTAAAAGGGGGGGCTTGAAAGAATATGCACATTTTTGTGTACAAATACATGTATATTGTGGGAACTACACATAAAGATGCATATATTTTTGGAAACAAAACACAAAAATGCAGATTAATAGGGGAAATCACTTTCAAATATTATATATAATACAAAATTGTGTATTAGGAAGAAATGTGCATGAAAATGCACAAAGTGATGCAGAAATGAGGTAAACTGAGTTTAAGATTAGAATAATTAGAAACAGAAAAACCAACATTCTCTTTCCCTAATATTTATTTTACAAGCACCTGCCCTCGAATTTCTTTGATGTTTGAAGCAATCCTAACAGCGGTTGGGGGGGGGAATAGCACTGGAATACTCCCTTCCCCCTGGCAAACTCCCCAAATCATGTCACTTGGCCTTAGGACTGAGCTATAGCTGGGGAGAAAGCAAGGCGGCTTAGGAGGCAGGGGCGGTAAGGGAACAGCTGGCCCTGGCCCCATTGTAGCTATTACTATTATTATAGGATATGCTTTTAAAGTGCATTGTTTTGGAGACAATATAATATTGAATAAGTGGGTCAGCAAGCACCCCTTGAACATCCTGCAGATCTTAGATCTACTCACTCAGTCACTCAGTCCTTCTCCCTTACCCTCCCCCCAGCAGCTCCCATGCTGAGGGAGGCAGGAGGTGGGAGGGAAGACACCCCAGTTTCCCTTTTCCAGAACTGAGACAAAGACCCAGTTCCTTCCACTCTGCCCCTTGGAGACTCCCTGGGATTCTGCCTGCCCTGAAATTGCACTCATAAGCTGCACATCATCAGGCACAGACAAAGAGTGTCCACCAGGTTCTTAGGGCAAGTGAAAGCTGGATACTTGGCTAAGCACTGGAGTCCTAGAAAGTCTAATGGCAGGATGCTTCCTACTCATTGCAGCTCATTAACCTTTCGAAAACCCTTTTCCTGTTATTGTCGGCAAAGTTGCTGAAAAGACATCAAGGCAGCCAGGCCTTGGAGGAAGCGGGTCGTGCAGGTGTGGATTGTTCCACATTTACATAACTCAAACAGCAGAGACTGAAGCAGTTTCCTCGACAAAACCTTAATCCTGCCACACCTAGAAACCACATTATCTGAGAACAAATAAGCGTGCAGTTCCTGACAAGTATCAGGCATGAGTTAATGGGGCTTACTCCCAGGCAAACATATATAGGATTACAGCAGTGTATTGCAACAAGGGCAGGGGAGACCTCCAAATAAAACTGTCCAGCTTAGGCAGCCTTTTAGAAAGCTTGTATAAGCATAAGCATCATATACAGTTGGCCCTGGCTTGAAGGCCATTTATACGACAACCCTGGGGACAATAGTAACTGGACTTAAACAGTGGGCGCTCATCCACCCTTCCTCTCATCCCTATTTCCCCTCAAGGAAAGCCGCTCTTTAGTGCTCAATCAGAGCAAAGAGCAATTTGTGTTTCCTCTGGATTGACATTTGTTCTGATTTAGCACTAAAGTGTGGGTTTTCCCTGGGAAAGCATTGGGGCAAGGGGGAAACTGGTCAGACCCGCACTTTCTAGGCACAGGACAAGCGGCAGTGTGGACAGGCCTGTCAATCCAGAGAAAACCCAAGAGCTGATTCCCCAGGGGGAAAGCAGAAGAACAAGAGGAAGTGTGGCTAAGCACCGAGAAGAGGCCCATTGAAAAGAATGGGACAAGTCTCCTCAGTGAGTCACCTCTCAGCATGACTCTGAATCCAACCCATTGAAATGGCAATTCAGTTATTCTGCTGTGGACTTGCGTGTTGGTCCTGCTCCCAAGGAATACCCATCTTTCACCCTAGCATGGGGAAGGTTTGGGTAGTTACTCTATGTTTGTTTTTATTGTTTCATTTGAGTTGTGGTGGTGTAACGTCCTGCCCGTAGGATGAGAGTGATGCACCCTCTAGTGCAGAAGGGACTGAAGAGGAATTTTAGCCCACCTCAGACACCAAGCGTGCAGTAAGTGCAGCAGAATGAGAGATCCAGAGGTCCGTGCCTGGCCTCTGCTTCTCCTGTGTGTGGCTGCTGCAGTGTCTGGCAGAGTGGGCCATTGCCAAAGGTAAGGTCCGAGTGGAGAGAGAAGAGGCGCTCAGAAGGCAGAGTGGAATTCTCTAAAGGGCTGGAGACAGGCTGACTCTGGGGGTCTGTCCAAACCCCTGTTATTTGGTCAGGGATCTATTCACTGGCCCCTTCCTTCAGGTGATTCTTAAGAAGATGCCGCTATATTTCCATGATCTGAATCCTACGGCGATACGGAAACAGCCTCCGGACAGGAAAATTAGACACCGGATATCCTGTCGAGAGATTGGTGCTAGACAAGCTGAGCTCCTTCCATCTGTCAGATTCCGTATCACAGTGGGAGGAAGGATTTGGGCAGGCAGGGGTAAGCCAGAAGGAGATTGGTCAGAGGCCTGGGAATCACCATCCTTCGCAAACACAGTCACATCACACGTTCTGCATTCATTCAAGCAGTGGGAAAAACAAGGAAATTTAAAAGTGGCCTCATGCTGCTTTGAAATTATCAAATAGAGTGAAGCTGAGCACATTCATTTTGAAAAGTAAACACAGGGAACCCTGTGTTAAATATGGACGTCTATATACCATGTTTCTTAAATATTGTTTTTTAAAACATATTTTTTAAATGAAGTTTTTGTCTCAATTTTTTTTCCTGATATATTCATAAAATATAAAAAGTAGATCTAGAGAAAAAAATCAGCAACAAGCCACTATTGAAAAAACAATAAATAAAAATATTAATCATGAACTATGCATTTATCTCCAAAATTGGATTATATTCTACACTATTCAACAGCTCATGCTTTTTTACCTGTTACAATATGCATTATATACAGAACACACCCATATGCACTTTCTCTGAACCTTTTAGCCTCCTAACTTTGCTCATGAAATCTTCTCACTGACTCCTTATATGCCGCTCCTTGCTATTACTTCACTGCCTGGACCTTGATTTGTAATTTCTCTAACAAAAATGTTTTTCTGCACCCCAAAGCAGCTGTGATGCTGGGGCCTGTTTTTCCAATCTAGATGAATGGGTTAAAGAGAGACAGGAACTTGACTGCAGTTCCAGCCTTTTCCTTTGTGCTTTAACAATCAAAGGAAGCTCAGCCTTATTTGAGGAATTTCCCACGCCTCTAATTCAGACATTAGAAAATGGTTTTCTTAAACTCATATCAGATATGTTTACAGAAAGAGCCAAACAAGCTGGGGGGGGGGAATCCTGGATAGGATAACTATCTGTATACGTTACAGCTATTTGAACATTTTTAAAAGAAAAATTAAAATAAATAAAGGATAAGCCATGGAACAGTTTGGGTGCTACAGATGCCCAGCCATCTTCACTGCGAAATAAGGAGGCAAACCTCCACTTCTGTCATTGTTTCATAGCAGGCATGTCCAACTCCCAAGAGACTGCGATCTACTCCTGGTAGAAAAAAACTGGCAGTGATCTACCCCTTGTCACTGGAGGGAGGAGGAGCGTGGGGGGGTGGATTACCCAGAGTTGTTGAGCTTCTTTGGGGGATGATTACACAGAGTTTTTTAGCTTTATTCCCATAACTTTTTCCACACAATAAGGATCCCGCGATCTACTAGGATCAGCCAGGGATCTACCAGTAGATCATGGATGCTTGAGCTGAGATTCTTGCCTTGTAGGGGGTTGGACTAGATGACCCTGGGGATCCCTTCCAACTCTATGATTATATGATCTGGGTGGCCACTGTGAGAACAGGATGCTGGACTAGGTGGGCAATTGGTCTGAAGCAGCAAGTTCTTCTTCTTGTTGCCAGCCACCCCAATCTCTGAGCCGTGTGAGAGGCCAGGGCTTCCAAGCACTTCCTTTGGGAATGAGGCAAAGCAGAGACTGTGATGTCCTTGTGGTTTATTGACACATCTATACAGCCTGAGCCTACGAGGGAGGAGTGCACGGCATCCGCACCCCAAAACGGTCTTGCTTCTCCCATAACTGCAGCCTTGGAGTCACACAGAAATCAAGCCTTTGCTCTCTGATCCTCTGCTTGCTGATTTGCTTTTTTTTAGGTCACATCACTGCAAACCTTGCTCTAAAACTCAGGCTTTGTTTTTCAAACTGTCTGAGAGTTAAAGGAGGGACCCCACTCATTTGGCATCTGGCACGCAGGTAGGGCTGCCATATCTGGAAGAGCAGGGAGCCTACTTGGGCCCCCGGTTATGGGTGCCCGTGCATGTGATGTCATGATGTCAAGCCTGTGCCACCCAGCCTTGGCACCTGACTTCCGGTGGCATTGCAAGTCGGGTTCCGAGACCTCTGAAAGCATCTCCAGAGTTGTGCCCTGCAGGGGCCCTGCAGTGTGGGTGAGGAGCACCCACAACAACATTTTTGTGGCTGCTCGGGCACCCAGAGCCCCCTATAGTTGGTGCCCCTGTTGAAGCAAAAAAGGGGGCAGCCTAAGTCACTGCCAGCCCAAGCGCCCAGGCCCTTCTTTCCCTGGCTCAGGCTGGCAGTGGCTGCAGAGCAGCCCAAGCCCAAGCCCACCAACTCCAAAACCTAGACATTTCCTTTAAAATGTAAAAATCTGCCCAGGTGGGCATGTTGACCCCCCAAAAGAGGACATGTCCGGGTTTTCCTGGACACATGGCAACCCTACACAGAGGCCCCTTTCCTTTGTTCTCTTCAGAGCCCATCACCCAAGCAATCACTTCAGCAGGAAACCAGCCTTGCTGGATCCAGGGGTTCAGGATCAGCCTGGCTGGATTAGCTTATAGCACTTGCTGGATCCAGAGAAGAGAGGAGTCCGGCACCCACAAACTCATCACAAACGTCCATGACTCCACCCCCGGGGGGAGGGGATTAGTCAGCCTAAGGGCCTTCCCCTTTGGGTCACACCCCAAAGAGCTCGCCAGATGAAATGATCACCCCTCTTTTTCACATAAGTGTATGTGCAGAGGGCTTTATTTTACCCCAAAGAAACCACATCCTGTTTTTAAACAACCAGATTCTTTTTTTTGGGGGGGGGGTGAGGACCACATCAGCAGATCTTGCTTTGTGCCTTCCACATGAGATTCTCTCTCAGTACTTCCCAGACAGACACTAACCTGGCCTGTATGGAACAACAAAAAGAACAATGTGTCCCAGCACATGTACAGAGAGTCTTGATGGCGTTATCTGTTCTCAGCTATAAAAACAGAAGAGGGAAGGAAAGGAGAAGCAGGAGTGCTGGCCTCTCTTCCTTTAAAATTGGATTCATCAAGGATTAACCTAGAACAATTAGCTGATAGTGGGACGTTTCCAGGTCTTTGGGAGAGTTGCCCCCTTTTATTGTGATTTGAATGATATTTACAGTTGTTGCTCCATCAATCCTTACCTGAAAAAAATGCCAAGGCCGCTTTCACGGAGGTCCCAGCTAATGGATCTCTATTCTTTTTTTTGCGGGCTGCGGGACGTTCCTGCCGCTGTGCATCTCTCGGCTCTGTGTGCTGTCTGGTTTTCCCCCTGAAATCAACAAGGCACATCGGATTCTCTTCTACATTCAATACAGGTCCAGGGAAAAGGGTCAAATATTTTGAAAGCTGTGATCAGAGAGCATAGCTTCAAGTTTTCAAGTGTGCGAAACATAAAACATTCAACAGAACAAAAGACCACTTCCTAACCCCACCGCCCTTTCCTGTGGTCAGCAGGAATCTCACGAGTGAAATGGAGTAAACAAAGCCAATGAAACGGGGAGGCTGGTCATCAGCTGAAGTGGCCCCAGGAACAGCACAGGAGTTCACCCCCCACCTTAATTCAGGTTCCAGCTTGCACTAGTAAGGGGCAGATATAGGATGCCCATTACGGTTCCCTGTTACTGCCGTGACAGGAAAATTAGGCAAAAAGTTGGCCTTTAAAGAAAGAAAAAATATACAATTCTGGAGAACTCATAAAAGCTATTTTGTGACATTTCTGCTGGTCTTAACAAAGTTATTCTCCTAACTGGGGGAAATTAGTCAGCTATAAATGACAAAAAAGAAATTATTTTATTTGTTGGTTCCCCCAGCCAACAATAGAGAAAGAATTTTTGTGTTATTGGCTTTATAGCATGCCATCCCAAAAGGAGAGAAATGTTCTTTAGGGAACACATGCATTTTTACTATGAAATGGCAGCAATATCAAATAATGATGGGAGAAATGGCCACCACTGATGAGTCACCACAGAGCTTTCCTATCTTCCCAAACCCAGTTCCTGTTTGGGAGAGCTTGCTTCAGGGCACCCAGGGGTGGGGCAGGCCTGGGCTGCTCTTCGACAAGCCAAAGGACAAAAGCCCCATGGCTGCCCCAAACCAATTGCAAGACTTTTCAGGTAACTGAATTCATATATTCATCTGTCATATTGTTCTGTCAGTGCAAGCTTTTTGGCATTCCAGAGGGAATGGGCTCCTCCCCACCCCCCACAACCCCACCAGAGCCAATTTCAGGGGGTACAGGAGCCCCCTTATGCTAGCAAGTCCTTGTGTGGGCTCCCACTAGTGGGACTTATCAGTTGAATCCCACCCAGAATGACAAAAGCCCTCCAGCAATATAGCATATGATGCTTGCCCATTAAGAATTGCATTGCTCTTGTGTGAAGTATATATGTCACATGCTTACGTCAAGCGCAAAGAGAGAGAGATCTAAAAAGGCACCCAAAGGGCCTTCGGGATGCTGGGCCTGGATCCCCAAATCTGTTCTTCCTTACCTTTTAATTATGTCTGCTGGCTTTCTTAAAAAAGTGTCATATTTCTGGTTGAATGGAGTATAAAGAAAGAGTCTCATTCAGCAGCATTAACCTTAAAACAATTGCCAGAAGAGATAATCCCAAAGGGAAGGAAACAAGAAAAGGAATTTACATGCATTAGCATGAGGTGTCAATAAGCCAGTTCTGCTCTGCTCTTGTTTTATCTTCTTCGCTTATTCAGAGGAGGAAAGTGGGGCAAAATCCTGGGCGTGGGAAGTTACTGCAGAGTTTAGACTTGGCACTGAGTGCAAAAGTTGTAGTCCAATGAAATATAGGAATATTGCTAACAGAAGAGTCGGTGGAAGAAGATTGGAAGAAATTTAAAGACTATTTACAGAAATATTGTAAAATTAATGAATGATAGAATGATGTTGGATAGTAATTAAGCGGTTTCTAGCTGTAATGTTTTAAGAGAATGTGAAAAAAAAAGGGTTATAAATGGGTTAAAATCTAATGGTAAGGATTTGCTGAACCAATATATCGAAGTGGAATACAAAAAAGGGAGGTACGAGGAGGTCCGGCAAACAAGCTAAAGGAAAATAAGTAATTGAAAATATGTGTGTTTTTAACTGTTTTTATTTTGTATTTTTCTTTTTTCTTTTTCATTTCTATTGTAATATTTTAAAAAACCTTAATAAATATCTTATTAAAAAAAAAAAAGAATATTGCTAACATTGCCATGGCATAGCCCTTGAAGATACAAAAAAAACCCACTGACAGTCACTTTGTGTCAATTCATTATTGGAGTCCAAATGCAAATCAGTTTTATCCAAAAAAGATAATGAATAATCTAAAAATGGCAGTAACTTTTTCTTTTCCTTTCACATTAAGTCCTTGTGTTCCTGTCAGGGAAAAAGGTGGGTTAATGATGATGATGATGATGTAGAAATGGTGCTATTGCTTTTAGAGGTTGTGGGACTGGTTTTATTGTTTTCAGAATCTGTCTTTTCGTATTTTATCTCATTTCTGTCTTGCTGTGGACTATTTCAATGTTTAAGTCTGTGAAACAAACAAGGTCCAGCTCCGAGGGTCTTCTGGCGGTTTCCTCACTGCGAGAAGCCAAGTTACAGGGAACCAGGCAGAGGGCCTTCTCGGTGGTGGCGCCCACCCTGTGGAATGCCCTCCCACCAGATGTCAAAGAGAACAATAACTACCAGACTTTTAGAAGACTTCTGAAGGCAGCCCTGTTTAGGGAAGCTTTTAATGTTTAATAGGTTATTGTATTTTAGTGTTTTGTTGGGAGCCGCCCAGAGTAGCTGGGGAAACCCAGCCAGATGGGTGGGGTATAAATAATAAATTATTATTATTATTATTATTATTATTATTATTAGCAAGCAAGCAATCAAACAAACAAACAAACAAACAGATCTTTCCACTGCCCTGTGGATATTGAATATCTTCAGGGCAACGCATGAGAAACGTGAGGGCTACATCAGAGGCCAAGAAGCAAGTTGGAGGCTGATATCAAAACAAGACTTGATTAAACTTGTTTAAATTTCTTAATAACTGATGTCATTACTTTCTAATGTTGTTTTATGATTGCAAGTTAATGTTGTGTGCTTAGTAGGATATGTTTTATATAGAGAAAGAAAATGTTTAAAATAGCATTACCTGACATTTTCAGAAGAGAAACTTAAAATTATTTGGTTTTCTGAAAGCCATTTATGTGCTTTTTAATCAAACATAGATTTACTAAGCTAAATGTTGTCTAATCACAAAAATAATAGCAGATTTGAATTACTCATATCCTAAACCATCTTTTTAAGACCTCTCACTGAAAAAAATTGCAAAAACTAAGTTTCACCCCCTAAAATGACACACCCTCTGGGTGCAAATGCTGACTTTCAGTTTTGGTTACAGGAACAGTATTGCAAGGACTGTTGAGAGGCCAGGACCCTCACGCCAGAATCTGAAGGGCAGGAATGCGCCACCTTGATGTTTATACAATGTCAAGAATTTGCCATTCCACATTCCAGACACGCACTCCTAGGTGAGCACGACAACTTGCTCTTTATTATTTCTGAGAGCTCTTCCTGTCATAGGAAAACCTGCTTCCTCTGCTTCCATGGAATTAACTGTTGTCCGTTTCAGACCAGACTGGATTTTTTCCATTCCTTTCCAGGCCCGGTTATTACATTAAAGAAGGTAAATGATTTTTGTAGCTTGGATGAGTGCAACGGTTGCTTCGCAGTTGAGGAAATCAGAGGAGTTCTCTCCAGGCATTTGTCCTCCCTTGGCTTCCTGCTGCCCTTGGGGATCCTCAGGATTCGGCCCAGGGAAATAAAACTATCTTGCCTTCCCACTTACCAAAGCAACGCTCAAGGCGGCTAATAGCAATCAAAAGGCAACAAAATGAGCAGCAATTAAATGTTAAAGTGAAACAGCAGCAAAAGAGATAATTAAAATGGTGTCAGCTTAAAATAACAAAATTAAAAGAAAATGTGCTCAACTGCAGCAAAGGTGTTAAGGTCTTCTGGGTATCCTTCATGGCCATTTTTGTTGTCCTGTGGTTAACCCTCATACTACATGGATACAACATTGTCTGGGTTGTCAGCCCAGTCTTCTCTCTCTTTTAGCAACCAGATCTGGTAGATCAAGGAAGGCTTTTCAAATAGCATACCAGCAAGGGTTTTGACAAGGTTCCATGGGAGACTCTTGTTTACAAAACTGACTTCACTTCTCCACTTGGGTGAGGGACAGGGACTTCCTGTGAAAAGAAGACAGAGGCTTTGCTTGTTTCAGGCACAATATCCTCTGCAGTTAGATTTGGACCTGAAAGACTAAGGAGAAGTGCAAGGCCAACAGAAGATATACTGCACTATATATTGCAGGTTTTAGCCTTTTTATGAAAACTATAACAGCTAGAGTGATTATTTATTTCCCCCTTCTTAGGAACTGACTGAGCAACTATTGAGAACGCACTGGACTCTGAGATTGAGCAAAAAAAAATAAATCCAATATACTGTACTGGAGATGAAACTCATTCTGTTACTTTTAATTCAGTTTTATATACACTTGGTATCCAACATTTAGCAAACAAGTGACAGTTTCATTTCCTTTGACAGGGGTTTGTCCCACAGAGCATTCTTCTTCCTTGCATGTCATTCATCATTGTTATGCAACCCAATCTGTTTCCTTCAGCTTCTGTCTGCAGGGAATCTGTAAAATAATAATAATAATGATGATGATGATAATAATAATAATAATATAATAATAATAATAATAATTTATTATTTATATGTCACCCATCTGACTGGTTTGCCCCAACCATTCTGAGCAGCTTCCAACAAATTAAAACATCAAACATTAAAAATTTCACTATACAAGGCTGCCTTCAGATGTCTTCTAAAAGTCACCCAAAGAAGCTGCTGGTGTTATTTAAAAACAGAAGACTACAAACTTTTTTAGTAATGAAAAGTCTGTGTCAACCAACTCTTCCCAAAACTGGGAGAAAAGGAAATAAATTTAAAGTGGGCACCTAATCTTAAATCAGAATCTCCTAAGCATAGCTTAAGCACTCTTAGAGCTGCTCTATTTTGATTGTTCTGCTTGCAAAAGAATTACAACCCCCCCCCCTTTCCTTGTGTGCTGTTCTTGGGGTTCTCCTGCCGCCCAGAGCCAATTGCAGAGGGCAGAGCAGGAGAAGATAAGGGCTTCCGTTGATGGGATGTGATGGGTGAATCCTGTCCTTAAGTTCTATTGACCTCAGTGGGAAAATGCAGCATCAGACTGACTCCCTTTTGCCAGGGAGACTTTAAAGATGCTTCATGTTGGCTGCATGGTGCTCATATTTTCCTGTTCAATTCAGACGCTCCAGGGATTTGAAGAACTGCTCATCCACTCCAGGGTCAGCAAGTGGGCAGCTGCTGAGGGCACACCACTGCCTGTGCTCCCTTGGAATCGTTGGCAGAATCCACACACATATGTTTTATTAAAAAAAATTGAAAAATACATTGGATTTTGCCTAGCTCACTGTCACCATCTAGTGTCACATTTGTATTGCACTTTCTTCTTTGGCGATCACTCATAGCCAAGTGAGATTGTCTTTCATGAACACGGTTTTAACAGTGAGTCTGTGACTGTAGAGGCCAATTCTAGATCCACACGTCCTTCCACAGTGGGGACATAGGTTTCCGGGTGGGAGATGATCATGGTATGGTTTTGCCAAGTGTGCCTTCCCCTTAGCGCGTTTCTCCCTTTTCGTCCTGAGTTCGAGCGTCATAGAATCATAGAATCATAGAGTTGGAAGAGACCACAAGGGCCATCGAGTCCAACCCCCTGCCAAGCAGGAAACACAATCAGAGCACTCAACAACATCAGAGCACCCAAGACACCTTTGGTAAAGGCTGCTCTCCAACTGGAGCACTCGCAAGCAGTGTTTCCCAGTTGTCGGTGTTTATACTACATTTTTAAAGATTTGCCTTGAGAGAGTCTTTGAACCTCTTTTGTTGACCATCAACATTATGCTTTCCACTTTTAAGTTCGGAGTAGAGTAGTTGCTTTGGAAGACGATAATCAGGAATCCGCACAACATGACCAGTCCAATGAAGTTGATGTTGAAGAATCATTGCTTCAACACTTCAATCAGGAGAAAGCTGTACTCGCAGAGCTCAGGCAATGTTGGATTTTGACATCAGTGTCGGCCCTTGTGGAAAGGTAACTGACCAGGTAGGAGAAGTATTTTCCAATGTTACTCCATTGAGTTGCATTTGTGGCACTGCAGAGAGATTGTTTTGTGCTTGTTGGTGCAGCACTTTGGTTTTTTGGATGTTGAGTGACAGGCCAAGCTTTTCGTAAGCTTCTGCGACGATATTTAGGATGGTTTAGAGGTCATCCTCTGAGTGTGCGCACACTACGTTGTCATCAGCATAATGAAGCTCTATGACAGAAGTTACGGTAACCTTACTCTTTGCTTTCAGCCTGCTCAGATTGAAGAGCTTTCCATCTGTTCGATATATGATTTCTTTTCCGGAGGGGAGTTTCCCTTTGACAAAGTGTAGGATCATGGCAATGAAAATAATGAATAGAGTTGGGGCAATAACGCAACCCTGTGAATGGTTCACTTTGAGAGCCATTCTTATCCGTGACTGTTGCTGTCATATTATCACGGAGGAGCGAATAATGTTCACAAATTTATCTGGGCAGCCAATTTTCAGAAGGACAGTCCACAGGGCATTACGATTTACAGTGTTGAAAGCCTTAGTCAGGTCAATAAACACCATATACAGGGGTTGGTTTTGCTCTCTGCATTTTTCTTGAAGCTGTTGAGTGGTGAAAATCATGTCCACTTTAGCCCTAGAAGGCCGAAAACCATTCTTGCAATAATTTTGCCAGCCGCAGCTAATAGAGAGATGCCTCGATAGTTTCGGCAATCCGTTCTGTCACCTTTTTTAAAGAGATTGATAATTTTGGCATCCCTAAAGTCTGCTAGAATCTCCTCTCTCTCCCAGACTTTTTCGATGAGCTTGTGAAGTTGTTGTGTAAGTTGAATTCCACCCACTTTGAAGACTTCGGCAGGTATCCACTGGCTTTGTTGTATTTTGTTATGTTCTCACCCTGGGCCAGCAGGGGGATACTGTAGATAGTTATGCAAATGAAAGCTCAAAAGTGACGTTCAGTGATTGGACAGTTTTAGAAAGTTGCAACAGTTACATTGTTCTGGAGCTCTATATAAGCAGGCTGACTGAGCTCTGCAGTTCAGTTCTATTCTGGCCTCTGAATAAACAAGAGCTGTTGAAGAATCGCTGTGTCATCTGATATGTTCACCCACAACTTAACACTGGCGACGAGCATGGGATCGATGGACATCAGAGCACAGCCAGATGCAGCCACCCTCTGAACTGAGCTGAATCACTGAGCTGAATCACTGAGCGAAATCACTGAACAGAACCAATTCAGAGCTGACTGTTCTGGCTAGAGCACAGTGTTCCATCCATCGCCCTCTACACCGGCATCGGAATCATGGCTTCACTTGTGCCTCTACCGCCATTTGCGCCAGCCTCTGAATCATGGGACTCCTACCTCACTCGGTTCGACTGCTTTCTCCAAGCCAAAGAGCTGACGAAAGTATCACAGGAGCATAAGCGGGGCCTGTTCCTCAGCCTCTGTGGGCCTGAGGTGTTCGAGATGGCCCGTGCATTGGTTCATAGAATCATAGAATCCTAGAGTTGGAAGAGACCACAAGGGCCATCGAGTCCAACCCCCTGCCAAGCAGGAAACACCATCAGAGCACTCCTGACATATGGTTGTCAAGCCTCTGCTTAAAGACCTCCAAAGAAGGAGACTCCACCACACTCCTTGGCAGCAAATTCCACTGTCGAACAGCTCTTACTGTCAGGAAGTTCTTCCTAATGTTTAGGTGGAATCTTCTTTCTTGTAGTTTGGATCCATTGCTCTGTGTCCGCTTCTCTGGAGCAGCAGAAAACAACCTTTCTCCCTCCTCTATGTGACATCCTTTTATATATTTGAACATGGCTATCATATCACCCCTTAACCTCCTCTTCTCCAGTTGCGCCTGTAGCAGTCCAGGCAACACCGTGGGACACGATCCAAGAGAAGCTCCGCAACCACTACGCACCAAAGCTGTCCAAGATTGCTGCCCGCCATGTGTTCTACCACCAGAACCAGGCAGATGGGGAGTCAATCAACAACTACACCACCGCCTTCCGACAGGCTGCAATGCACTGCGAGTTCCGAGACTTAGACGATGCCCTGATGGATCGAATCGTCTGCGGGGTATGGGACATCTGTCTGCAACGGTGTCTCCTTGCCAGGCCAGACCTCACGCTGCAGAAGGCCACTGAGGAGGCCGTGGCCTCGGAAGCTGCTGAACGCTCCGCCCAGGAGATCCGCAAGGCCAGCAGCTCGTGTCTTGCGAGGAAGCCAATTCCAGTGCATCACGAAGAGGCCAGCAGTGATGAGGCATCCTCCAGTGAAGATGATGACGTTCACCAGACAAAGCGGGAGCGCAGGAAGTTCCAAAAGAAGTCCAAGGGCCAATCGGAATGTGCCGGCTGCGGAGGCAACCATTCCCGTGCCAAGTGTCAATTCAGAGACGCCATCTGTCGGACGTGTTCCAGAAGGGGCCACATCGCTAAGGTCTGCTGATCGGCTCCGTCTGACACCCCCCCTTCACCGACTCGCAAGTCCAAGCCTTCACTCCAGTCCGCCAAGGAAAGCTGTTTCGCTCTCACCAACTGCCGCTGCTCATCTGGAACCACGATTGGCCAAACCGACTTGCCTACGCGACGCAAGCTGAACGTCACGGTACTCACTGAAGGAGCTCCATGTGACATGGAGATCGACACCGGGTCTGCCCTGTCCATCGTGTCTTGGAGCACCATCAAAAGACTGGTACCCCGAGTGTCCAAAAGGCAACTCAACTCTCACCGCGTACACCTGAGAGACAACCAGGGAAACGACATTCCCGTGGTAGGCATTGGCCGGTTCCGGATCGCCTTCAAGGATTTTTCGGGCCTGCTCCGGCTGGTGGTGGTTGAAGGTCAGCGGCCAAGCCTTCTAGGGCTAGACTGGTTTGATGCCCTCGGCCTGGAAGTCACCGGCATCAACTGCATCTCTAACACAGAGACTGAGGGTCTAGTCAAAGACTTTGCCAAGGTTTTTGACGGCACTTTGGGTCAATATACAGGTACGCCCATCTCCTTTAGCCTTGATCCACAAGTCACCCCCATCAAGCTAAAGCCATGCTGGGTTCCGTTTGCTCTCAAGGCTAAGGTGGGCGAACAACTGGACAAGCTGATCGCCCAAGGAGTTTGGGAGCCGGATGTCCACACCAAGTGGGGAACCCCCATCATCACACCTGTCAAGCCAGACGGGTTGGTGAGAATCTGCGCTGACTGCAAGTGCACGATCAACAGGGCACTTCAGCAGCACGCTTATCCGGTTCCTGTTGTCCAACACCTGCTGCATTCCCTGGGTGAGGGTAAGGTCTTCGCTAAGCTGGACCTTGCCCAAGCCTATCAACAACTTCCCGTCGATGATGCCACTGCTGAAGCCTAGACGATCGTCACCCACCGAGGGGCATTCCGTTGCCGCCGGTTGCAGTTTGGGGTGAGTGTGGCTCCTGGCATCTTCCAAAGCCTTATGGAGTGTCTCCTGCAAGGGCTTCTGGGCGTGGTACCATGTCTTGGTGTCTGCAGACTCACACCAGCAGCTGTTCAAGCGCCTCCATGCCGTTCTGACCAGGTTCCAGGAGGCCGGGCTCAAGGTAAAGAGGGAGAAGTGCCAGATCGCTGTTCCACAGGTGGAGTTCCTGGGCTATCTTATCGATGCCTCCGGCCTTCACCCGACCACATCCAAGATCCACGCTATCCAGTGGGCCACTAGGGGGCGCATTGGAAGATGGCCGACAATGCCATCTCTCCGACCCACATGGGGTAATTAAGAGGCTGTTATGGGAGTAGGCAGCCTCCCTTGTTGCCCCAAGGAAATGGGGAACACTGCCCTTGCCTGCTGTGCCCATAAATCACCCCCCTAATTCGAAAGAAGGGGGTGAGGGCCCTAGGCAGAATGCCCCCGTGTGGACATCGGCTCTCCTGGACGCTGTCTCTGATCGCGCACTAGTTGCAGCAATTTGGAATAATTAATTACAAAATAAGCAAATGCACATATTTCAAGTGAAGAAGGGGAGTGAAGTCTGCTAATTTAAGTGACCTCTGTGAAAGAAGACGACGGGCTAGAGAAACAGGAATATTTTACGATGAAGATACACCAAAGGCGGGGTATGTTGACAACGGGGCTGAATGGGGGGAGGGAACCTTTTTTACTTTCCTTCTATGTGATTTACAAGAACCCCTCCTCATTAGAACCGTCGGTTGAACTGACCCAAGCAGGATGATTAAGGTCTGTGTGGAGATAAACTTTAACCAAAAGTATGTTTTATGGAGACCGAGAAGCAATAAGAGCTTTTGAGAATGGCGCAGCAATTAATTCAGAGTCGCCATCTTGCCAAAGGATTTACAGCCAGGAGGAAGAACGGATTTGTTTTCAGACTGCATTCCTAGTGAATCTCCTCAGAGGTTTTGAGAAAGGAGGCAGATTGGTGAAGATTAATGACGCTAAGACTGTTTTGATGTGTGGAAGTGATGTTATATGGAAAACGTCTGGATATGGCTACTGGATAAAAAAAAAAATATTCATGCAGGATTACAAACTGTTCTAACCAGCTTGCGGAGACTATCAGAGGTCACAAAGAGAAAGGAAAAATATATGAAAATAACAACAAGAGATGTGGAAAAATACTAAGAAAGGACTGGATAGTACTGTGAACACCATAAGGTTAGATTTGTGGACATTAAAACAGCAGTAAGAAGCAAGAAGTTGCTTGGATCCCTTCGGAACTTGAAATATGGGTACCCCCAACAAAAATTTAAAATTCGGCTCTGTAATTTGGAATTTATGTAATTTGGTTTGATTTGATGTGATTGTTCGGTTAATAAAAAATTATTCTTAAAAAAAGAAGATCCAAGATCCACGCTATCCAGCAGGCCCCCATCCCAAAGAACAAGACGGAGTTTCAGGCGTTCCTGGAACTGCTGAACTTTTATAACATGTTCCTGCCCCACAAAGCCACAGTGGCTGAGCCTCTTCACCGACTCCTCAGCACAAAGACGCCTTGGTCCTGGAGTCATCGGGAGACAGCGGCCGTCAAGGCTCTCCTGTCATCGGACAGTGTGCTGGTAAAGTACAGTGAAGCCAGACCACTGGTCCTTGCCTGTGACACCTCACCTTTTGGCATTGGCGCTGTCCTTAGTCACCGTTTTCCAGACGGAAGAGAAGCACCGCTCGCCTACTTTTCCAGGACGCTATCTCTGACTGAACGGAATTACAGCCAGCTCAGCAAGGAGGCACTGGCACTTGTGGCTGGAGTGAAGAGGTTCCATGAATACCTCTACGGCAGGACTTTTGACCTCATCACTGACCACAAGCCGCTCCTGGGCCTCCTCGCCGGTGATCGACCAACTCCACCAGTCCTCTCGCCGCACATGCTGCGATGGACTGTTTTCCTGGCTGTCTACCACTACCGGCTCGTCCATCGCCCGGGGAAATTGATGGGCCATGCCGACGCCCTCAGCTGTTGCCCTCTTCCAGCGTTTGTGGAAAACCCGGCTCCTGCTTCATCGCTCCCCCTGATTGAGGATCTTCCGGCAGCGCCTGTATCGGCTGCCACTGTGGCCTCTGCATCTGCCCAGGATTGCACCATCAGCCATGTGCTCAACTGGGTGTGGAGGGGGTGGCCACAAGGGCCTTTTGCATCGAAGTTCCAGACGTTCGCAACCAGACAACACAAACTCTCGGCTCATCACAGCTGTCTGCTGTGGGGAGACCGCGTCGTGATTCCCCAAAGACTCCGTCAACGTGTCCTGGAGGCTCTGCACATTGGCCACCCGGGAATCCATATATCATATATCATCACTTCCATAAATAAAAGCACTCTTTCCATCATTAATCTTCACAAATCTGTCGCCTTCTTTAGTCCTCTGAGGAGGTTCGCCCGCAATATGAAAACAAATGCATTCCTCCTCCCAGACACAAATCTTTCGACAGAACTTGCCAAAATGGCAGCGCTGTTTTTTACTGCGTCATCCCAAAGCTCTTGTACTTTTCCACGATCTCCTTAAAAACGTGCTTTTGGTTAGAAATTATCTCCACACAGTCTTAAATCTTCCAGCTTAGGTCATTTAACCGGCATTTCTGACTTGTGGGGGGGGATTATTGGTTAATCACATAGAAGAAAGAAAGGAAAGTCCCCCCCCCATCCAGGCCCGTTGCTGACATACCGAGCCTTGGTGTGTATTCTCATGATATATTTCTGTTTATCTGACCCGTCTTCTTTCTCAGAGATCCCTTCAATTAGCAGTCTTTACTCCCCATTCTTCCTTGAAATATGTGCATTTGCTTCTTCCTAATTGTTTCTTTTGAAGTTGCTGCAGCTAGTGGCGCGAATCAGAGACAGCGTCCAGGAGAGCCGAAATCCACACAAGGGCTTTCTGCCTAGTGCCCCCACCCCCTCAAGTTCGGGGGTGGTATATATGGGCACAGCAGGCAAGGGCAGTCCCCCCCCATTCCCTTGGGGGGGCAGGGAGGCTGTTTACTCCCATCACAGCCTCTTAATTACCTCGTGTGGGTTGGAGAGATGTTACTGTCAGCCATCTTCCAATGCGCCCCTAGTGGCCCCCTCGGCCGGCCCCTTTCACGGCCGGACCTTTATGGTAGTGGTGGACGCCTATTCCAAATGGCTGGAGGTGGCCCTGATGCCCTCCACCACTACTGAGGCCATCATCCGGTGCTGCGAGGCCTCTTTGGAACGCATGGGTGTCCTGATGTCCTTGTCTCCGACAACGGACCACAGTTCACGTCAGGCACTTTTGAGCGGTATCTTTTGGGACTGGGCATCCGCCATGCCCTAACGGCACCCTTTCATCCATCCAGCAACGGGCAAGCGGAGAGAATGGTGCGCTCGGCAAAAGAGGCACTGGCACGCCTGGACCGGGGAGACTGGCACAAGCGAGTCACCGAATACTTATTCGTACAACACATCACCCCTCATGCGGCCACAGGGCGGAGTCCTGCTGAACTGCTTATGGGCCGCCGCCTCAGGTCCCCGCTCGACCGGCTACACCCAGACTTTGCCATGGCCGAACCCCCGGGCTGTGCCAACGCGCCACAGCCATGTGTTCCAGGAAACCAGGTTTTTGCCCGGAACTTTGTGGGGGACATTCCTTGGGTGCCAGCCACTGTAGTGGGAGTCACTGGACCTCGCTCGTACCAGGTGGCACTCAAAGACGGACGCTTGTGGCGCTGGCACATAGACCAGCTTAGGCGCAGGGTTGGGGACTTGGACACTACCGTGGTGCCCCCAGCTGCACTCGTAGCTCCGGAAGAGACACTTACAGATGGTGAGGCTCCACCTACACCTCTCTCACAAACTGCTGGCGTGGAGCCGAACCAAGCCACTTCAGAGGGTCTGCCAGACTTACTACAGACTCAGACCACTGCCGTGCCTGACATTCCACCAACTCCACTTGCGGAGGTTCCACCCGCAGCAGCAGATCCAGGGGACTTGGTTTCAATGCCACCTAGGGTCGCACCACAGCCTCAGCAAGAATTGGATGGCCCCCCCGGACTTGGCTACCAGTCCCCGGCGGTCTGGCAGAGTTTCCAAGCGCCCAACTTATTTAAAGGACTATGTTGTTGGACATGTATCACTGTTGGTCTAAGTATGTGAAATGTAACCGATATGCCTAATTGAACCATTACGTGTAGTGCTGTATATAAGGAAACCATTACGATTGTAACTAATGCCTTATCTCGGTGGGTAGGGGTGTTATGTAATGAAGTTCTCACCCTGGGCCAGCAGGGGGATACTGTAGATAGTCATGCAAATGAAGGATTGAAAGTGACGTTCAGTGATTGGATAATTTGTATGCAAATGAAGGATCAAAAGTGACGTTCAGTGATTGGATAGTTTTAGAAAGTTGCAACAGTTACATTGTTCTGGAGCTCTATATAAGCAGGCTAACTGCCTGCAGTTCAGTTCTATTCTGGCCTCTGAATAAACAAGAGCTGTTGAAGAAGAAGAAGAAGAAGAAGAAGAAGAGAGGCGCGCCCCCACTTGCCCCCTTTCTTCCTCCTGGGTTTGCAGCTCTGCTTGCAGGGTCCCCTTACCCGCCCGAGCCGTGAGTAGTAGCAGCTGCTGCCCTGGTTTCTCTCTCTCCCTGGAATTGTGCCCTGTGTTTAATGTTACGGGCAACTCTATCCCGGGGAGGGGAAGCCTCCTCCCATCGCTCTTCTTCTTCTTCTACTTCTTGGGGGGTGGGCTCCTTCTGTGCCCCACCACCACCAACAGGGTCCCTAGGGGTTGTAAAGCAAGCCAGACCATTTAGCACCGACCCCATTCATTCCAGCATCTGGCCATCACCCACTCCAAGCCCTGCGAAAAATATCATCACCATTACTATTACTATTACTACTACTACTACTACTGCACTCCCCCCATAGATATCAGGGCAGCTCACAGCCTGAAATTATGGTATTAAGCACGTGCTAGAAACTAGAACAAAGGCAAACCAAACCAAGCCAGCAACCCTCCTCCCTTATTTGTGAAACAAGCCTGTTAATTGCCTATCCGACTAAAAAGAAAAGGCACTGATGGTTTTTGAGATCAATGCAAGCTAAAAAGCATTGCAGGGGGCTGGGCTAGATGACCCGCAGGGTCTCTTCCAATTCTACATTTTTCTGAAAAACACAAACGCACAACCCAACTATGGTCCCTCTGCAGTCCTCGCCCCAAGCAGCTGTGTGCGAGACTTGCTCCCCAGAAAGTGTGCCTTGTCTTGCTACCTGTGGTTTTTGGTCTCTCGTCAGCCCCCTCCCCCAATCTATTCATATGCCTTTCTCCCTAATCTCCAGTATTACATTTTCATCTGGTTGAGACTTAAAACAGAAAGCCCTAATTCCCAAGCTGTGTTTCTTGCTGCATTCCTACTGTCTACTCAGAAGTAAGGTCCTATTAGATTCAGCAGGGCTTACTCTCAGGTAAGTGCAGTTAGGGCTGCAGCCTTTGTGACCCAAGTATTGGGTCCTTTTTAGGTTCAGGATGCCACTGCTTTACACACACACAAACACACAACATTTGAAAACGTCAGCTTTGTACTTAAACACAAATTGCCCGGGAACTTCATTGTCTGTGTCTTTATTAATTTATTTAAAGAACAACAAACTGGTGATTGCTTTAACTTTTTGATATGTGGTGATTTGAATCATGAGGATGAATTGGAAGAACTGCTGAGTCTTGGTCTTGCTTTGGAATTGAGGACTTCATTAGATTTTCTTCTGCCTTTTCATTTTATTTTGTTCTAAGGGCTTGTTCAAGATAATGTGTAAGCATGGTGTCAGCTCCCAAAACAAAGGTCAACAACTCTGGGGAGAGTTGTTCCTTTCCTTAAAAAGGTCAACAACTTTGGGAAATGGGGGGGGGGGGGTCAGAGGGATCTTTGCACTACAGCCCCGGATATACTTAAGACGGCCCTGCCCAAGATCCTGCCCAAGGCTGGAGGCGGGAGAGGGGGGGGCAGGAGGAAAGAGGAGGGCTCTCTTGTCTGCAGTAGATGACTTGGGTGATAAGGGGGGGGGGGAGAAGGGTCTCCGTGTGTGTGTGTGTGTGTGTGTGTGTGTGACTTTAATAAATGACTTCTACTGCACCTACCAATATATTATAAACATGCTCCATTTTTTTCTATGTAGAGTTGTCCTCCCTTAGGTGCACCTCTCAGAGTTCTGCTTACAAAACGCATGCCATTTTGAAGTCCTGGGAGTTTTAAAGCAATTTCCAAGCAATTCACAGGAGCCTCATCATCAGCCATTGCAAGCTCTGCTTCACTGAACTGAGAATTAAAAATTAACAGGAAATAAACTGAAATGTAGGATATGATAATAAAGGAATATTGCATTTCAGGGTTTGTTTCTGTGTTTATATTGACATCACAATAGAGCTGGCTGACCTTTTCATTCCGTGTTTTTGCTATTCCAAGCTGCCTCCAGGTGGGGATAGAAGCCCTTGAGACAGAGACAGAGGCGCTGTTGTCATCTTTCCTCTGGGAACTGCATCAGTCAGAAAATATATAATAATACATCACTACTTGGTGCTAAATTTTCAATAAACATTTTCTGTGACTAATGTGGAACACCTGTGAAGAGAATAGAGAGTGCATCGTCTGGTAGAGGAGAAAAACGGAAGCAGCTGGGCAGCTCAAAACAGATTTACTTTTCCTTCCCTGGATGAACCCTAAAATTTGTTGAATGCACCAGACAGTGTCCATCCAGCTACAGTTCTGTTCCTACTGCCTGGGAAGTTAACAGGGTGGAACTGAATTCTGAGTAGACACACAACAGTGGACAGAACGACCCTTCTTCGAACTTGAACCAAAACATTTGTGAATCATGAACATAGCAGGTAGCACTATCTGTCAAGATGTGTGACTGTGGCATAGAAATCTCTCTCTTTCTGTATACACACACACACACACACACACACACACACACACACACGGCAACTTGATGGAAGGTAGTATTCACAGTATAAATTAATGAATATAATGAAAAAGTATTCTGTCTCTTTGCCATGCTTTCCTTCATAGCAGTGTAAATGGAACCCTTCACAGCAAAAGTTCATTTGCTCATTCCTCAGCTTAACTGATTTATATTTAGAACCATTTTTAACAGGAAGAAATAATAGTAAAAGATTAGGACAGAAGATGTAAGACCAATAAATCAAGATCTGTGACTGTAACATAGATTAATGCAGAATAAATTTTTTAAACTGTCTGAAAGCTTTTGGAAGAATTGACAATATTGGATTAATGTAAAGAAAACTGAATAATAATTTGTATAGATCATAATTAGAAATAAAATGACTTGTAGAAATATCTAGATTTCTGATTAGCTATAAAATATTTGAGAATAGTATTTTTCATTAAGGATGAAGTACTACAACAGCTGAAATGATAGAATGGAATATAAGATTAAGGCAAAATTGTAGCTTTAAAGATGGAACTATTAACTAGAATTATTTTTCCTTTGCAATATGCCGTATTTTTCACCCTAGGACGCACCTAGTTTTTTGGGGGGAAATCAAGGAATTTTTTTTTATTTCAACCCCAGGTTTGTGCAGCCATCCCCAAGCTAGAAGAGGGAGACGGAGCGCTCCGTCTCCCTCTTCTGCCTTCAGGGACAGCCTCTCTAGCCTCCGTGGGGCAGCGGCTTGCCCTGCTGTCCCTGGAGCTTGTGGGGCTGGCGATGGGGAGAAACAAGCCTGCTTCGCCCCACCGCCAGCCTCCAAACCAGGTCGGGGAATAGCGGGATGGCGGCTCTTCGCCTCCCCGCTGTCCCCCGAGCTTGTGGGGCTGCCCGATATCTGCACCAATCGGGATGCAGGCTGCTATCCGCAAGCCTGGGGAGCCCGCGGGGCTCCCCAGGCTTGCGGATAGCTTCCTGAAGCCTGGAGAGCGAGAGGGGTCCATACGCACCGACCCCTCTCGCTCTCCAGGCTTCAGCGAAAGCCTGCATTCGCCCCATAGGACGCACACACATTTCCCCTTCATTTTTGGAGGGGAAAAAGTGAATGTATGGCAGTGAATAATTGATCATTTTGTTTGATATGACAAGAAGCTGAGGTTAAAATCAAATATGATGAGGAAAATACGTAATATCTTCATGGAAGAACAGGCAGGATTTAATAGTAATTTCTCTACTTTTCATGGTCTTGTGCTGAAGGGCAGAAAGAGATGATTGTCTGCAGCATTTGGGGATTTGAAACCTTGCTTTTGATGCATTGATCATGTTTATTATATCAATGATAAAACAGTCTTTTCTACAGCAACCAGAAAGGGGAAAGCTCCTGTCTTACTAAATGCATATGGTATAGTCCTCTTGTTTGCTGTTTAATAAGGATATCAATCATAGAATCCTAGAGTTGGAAGAGACCACAAGAGCCATCGAGTCCAACCCCCTGCCAAGCAGGAAACACCATCAGAGCACTCCTGACATATGGTTGTCAAGCCTCTGCTTAAAGACCTCCAAAGAAGGAGACTCCACCACACTCCTTGGCAGCAAATTCCACTGTCGAACAGCTCTTACTGTCAGGAAGTTCTTCCTAATGTTTAGGTGGAATCTTCTTTCTTGTAGTTTGGATCCATTGCTCCGTGTCCGCTTCTCTGGAGCAGCAGAAAACAACCTTTCTCCCTCCTCTATGTGACATCCTTTTATATATTTGAACATGGCTATCATATCACCCCTTAACCTCCTCTTCTCCAGGCTAAACATGCCCAGCTCCCTTAGCCAATAGTCTTACAGACCTTTTGGGGTACAAAGATGGACCGAGGGCGTCCTCTTGGTAGTTCCTCCCCCCTCGGAGGCTGGGGGCTGGCCCTGGAGAGGGCCTTTTCTGTGGTGCCTCCTAAATTGGGAGTTCCACTCTCCACAGAGGTCTGTGTAGCATCTTGACTATATGGCTCCCAGGAAATGCTGAAGACACAACTCTGTACCCTGGTTTTTGGCACACAAGAAGAAAAGGCTAAGGAGTAAAACCTACACAGATCTGGAGTGGAGTGGTTGGGTGGCGCCTTATATGCCCCCTTCCAGCAACTCCTGCCTCCAAGTGGGTGCCAAACGTCTTGCTCTGCTTTGCAAGGCCAGGGGACTTGTCATCTGGGCAGCCCAGGACCTCCAGACACAGGGCCCAGACTTGCACACCAGAGAAGTCACTACAGTGCAAAAACCGGAGGCAGCAGTTATGAGTTGCCGGTCTCTACAGCCGCAGCGGGTGCTGTGATTCTCTGGTGGTTTGACTTTGCCCTGGGAGGGGTGCCCCATTGTCCCTCAAGATGGATGGATGATGCCAGCAGCAAGTTGTTTTAAAATGTTTTTAGTATTGTGCTTAGATTGTAATCCATCTTGGGACATCTGGTTGAAGGTCGGGTAAATAATAATAAGATTGAAAAGAGCTGTTACCTTCCTAATAACACCAGTCAAGGCATGTGTGGAATTTTATAAGATCAGTGTAAGAATTCTGTTGGAGAGACTGGATTATTTCACTTACGTTGCTTTTATTTTTATATGCTTTGTTATAGTTATGAAAACTAAAAATTGAAACTGGCATAATGGAATTTTAAATTTGGGTGTGTAACTGGTTGTGCTGTATTTAGTGTTTTATTCATTGAGTCAACTGTTGGTTTAAACTCAGCTGGGCTTTAGTGATGCTCAGTTCATTAAGATCAGCAGAGGGACCTCTTGGTGCCCTCAGAGTTGTGTGGTGCTGGCAGCCCAGGAGAGGACCTCATCATTCAGCAATGCTGAAGATACACCTGGCTGTCCTGTTTTCAGGACCCACCCTATGCCTGTGAGTGTAATTTGTTTTTAATACTGGAATTTAAATTGCTGTAACCTGTCCTGGGAAAACAACAACAACATATTTATTATTTATTAAATACAGTTGTATACTGCCTAGATTTGTATACACCTAGATCTCAGGGCAGCTCACAGCATTAAAATATATAATATAAACAAGAACATAGAATGCTCAGTTCCCTTATTTTGTATTGTGGGTAGATATCTTATTGGTGCTTCCACACATGGAATTAAACAAGTACTTGCTAACTTAGCATTAACTGTCCTTTCCATACCGAGCGAAAGCCATCCACTCAGATTTGGTTAGACCTACAGTGGTACCTCGGGTTACAGACGCTTCAGGTTACAGATGCTTTAGGTTACAGACTCTGCTAACCCAGAAATAGTACCTCGGGTTAAGAACTTTGCTTCAAGATGAGAACAGAAATCGTGTGGCAGCAGCGGGAAGCCCCATTAGCTAAAGTGGTACCTCAGGTTAAGAACTGTTTCAGGTTAAGAACGGACCTCCGGAATGAATTAAGTTCTTAACCCAAGGTACCACTGTATTTTAGAACCTGCTATACAGTAGTTCCATTTTTTTAAAGTAATTCAGGTAGCCTCACTTTCGTAATTGCTCCACAATAGACAGTGCTTGCAGTCCTTGCAGTGCTCCAGACTGCTGTGGGAAGTTGTTGCAGGAGTTTAATATGTTCAGGGGAGTCATGGCGCTTCTTGCAACAGAGCACTGGCAAAATGACGCAGTTGCTGCCAGTGCAAATGCAACCTTGAAGCAACTTCACTCTATGCAGGGAATCAAGTTAAAGGAACTTTGTGAATAACTTGCCCTCTGTCTGTATGGCCATTCCCTGTCAGTGCCATTCTATAGTCATTAATATTTTGGTCAATGGCCTAAGCCAAAAATGTCAGTGTCAAATTCTATTATTGCAGATGTCTGGTCCATAAATCTCTCTCTGGTAGTTTAAGGTCAGCTTCCAGTCCAGATCACCATGACCCACATTCTATTTCTAGAGACATCAGATTCTATGATAGCGTAGGATTGGCTACTGAGACAAAATCTTCAGCATTGAGTTAGATGCAAGTCAATGCCATCTTGTAGAGGACACGTTCCTTTTTAATTAAAAAGGAGGGAGGGAAAGAAAGGCAGAAAAAAGAAAAAGATAGAAAGCAAGAGAAAAGAAAAGCAGCTTTATCCTTATCCTCAATATTCTTCTGCATGGCTGGCTGGCTGCATGCTCTTCATTTAGCTGTTTCCAGGCCTGGCTGGATGCTGGGGCAGAGCCATAGCTACAGGGGGACCAGCCAGGTTTTCTGCCCCAGGTGAAGCCCCCAAAGGGGTGCCATTGGGCCTCCCACACGGGGTGTATGTGTACACAAATGCGTGTGCAGGGGTCTTTGACCCAGTTTCGCCCCTGCGCTGAGGAGTCATGCCTGGATACTGAGGAGTGGGCAGCACAAGAAGGTGGGGGTCAGGACCGGCTTGGAAGAAGGGATCAGTGATCTGAGCAGAGAAGCTGCAGGACTGGCGAGTGAGGAACAGGGGCAGGAGGAGGGCGAGATGGGTCTGTGGGTGGAGAGTCAGGGGCTTCCCCACATCCTCCTTCCCTGCCCCCACCTCTCCTGCTCTACTGCCTCCAAGGGCCAGGCAAGGATGGAAGCAGGTGACACGCAGGTGGAGTCTGCACTGCTTGCACACAGCTCGGATGGGGGAGATGCACAAGAGCGAGGCCTCTCTGTTGCGGCCACTGCCTCACTGGTGCACACCTAGGAGAAGCTGAGAGACAGAGAACTGATGGACATGCCTTTCCCTAACTTGAAAGTTGATTTTCCACAATGAAGAGTTGATTCCTCCCTCCGGACATTTCTTACTTGTCAGGGCCATGACTGCTCTATATGCATTCCAGTCATCAGCTGCATATTCTTTCTCACATTCACAGCAAAGTGTGCTTGTAGAACTGCCTGAAAGTAACTCATGCCTAACTCACATAGAGGATTGCACTCTAAAACACAAATATTTTGTTAAATATGTGAAGATTTAGGCAATATCTACAATGTATTTGACAATAGCATTAGTTTGGAGGAAAATCTTTAGGAGCAAAATTAAACTAGCTCTAATCCAGTGCCACCCTGGCCCCTTTCAAGCCCTCTAGATTCAGGTTTATTTATATATTGGATGTGTATCCAACTCTTCCTCCAAAGAACTTGAGGTCCAAAAGCTGACTCACACGAC